TAATATTTTTTTGTTGCATTTTAATTTTTTAATATATTCTTTATTTAATATTGGCAAGACAACACACGAGAAATGGCACAGTGTTCCCTGTGCCGCAGTGTACAGGTGATTTGTCAAGTCATGTTGTAGATAGTTTATAGTGAGTAACCACTTTGCCGTTTCGGTCATCCGTTAATAAATTTTGTATTTTGTTTAAATTTAAATTGGTCCATACATCTAAGGCAGAGATGGAGACAAGGCCCAACCGCCTCCGCAAGTGTGGCTGATGTATGAAACAATGAGCTAGCTAATGACTTACCCACTGAAGGCGTGTCACGCCATATCATGGTTTAAAGAAAACAAACTGTGACTTGCAAGACTCCGTGGAAACAGTAGATGTCAGTGTTTGCACGAAGAAAGAAGTAGTACAGAACGAGTATAGAAAGAGAGAAGAGAGGCGGAGGAAAAGAGATGTGCAGGCCCCCGGTCCCAGCCCGAGGCAGGGAGAGAGGGAGGAAAGGGCCCCGTTACCCCTAACCCACTCTCTGTCCCTGAGGTTCAATTCAACCAGAAAGGGGGTGGAGGAGGGGAGCGATTGGTTTTGACAGCTCTGCATGCCCACCCAATCATCCACTCAGTCGCCTAAGTCACTTTGCAATCAGAGTTCCCAGATTTTTTTCAAACTTTTTTAAAGAACCTCGGGCAATAGCAGTCAATTTATCCATAAGGCACATATCTTTTATTTTGTGGATAACTAGGGATGTAAGGGGAATGTCTTGTTTGAGCCAATGTTGCACTAACACCCGTCTCGCAGCCAGTTTATGTAGTAGTTTTTGTTCTGATCCCGTCCACTCATCTTTTGATCTGGAGAGTAAGAAGACCCAAGAGTTTAATTCTATGTGACACTGAAAGATCTGCCCTATGAGGTCTCCCACATTTTGCCAGAAGGTCTTTACCACCGGGCAGTGCCACCACATGTGAATGTATGTCTCTTTGTTACCGCAATTCCTCCAACAGAGGTCATTTGGTGTTTTGTCCCTGCAGTAAAGCAGTATCGGTGTTGTGTACCAATGGAACATAGTCCTATATGCTTGTTCCTGGACCGTCATGCAGATCGAGACAGCCGTGTTGGCTTCCCATATGTCCCACCAGTCGGTGCCCTCTAGAGTCTCCCTTAAGTCAATTTCCCATTGCTCTACATATGTCAGTTTGCTCCATTCTCTAGTATTGGATGCTATGTGTGTCTATAAGGAGGAGATCAAACCCCGTGCATCGATTCCTGAAGGCACATGCGTTTAAGCCCTGTCATGCATACTTGACAAAATCTTTGAGCTGGCGATATCAAAAGAAATCTCCTGGTCTAAGGGTTGTCCTCTCGGAGAGTACTTCAAACATAACTATATTATCCCTGGGGGTCAGTCGTATACCTAAGTATTTGATAGCTATGCGATTAATTTGGATGTGGTGTGTCGTGGTGATAAATGTTGTGTCTGCAACTGTCATGTTGAGCAGAAGGGCGACTTGCCGAGGTTGACTTTGTAATCTGATAGTTTACTATATTCCTCTAAGATTTGTATGAGTGCTTGCATAGATTCCTCAGGTCGCGTCAGTGTCAGGAGGATATCCTTGGCATATCCTGAAACTTTACATTTCTCTCCCCCTACTGTTACCCCATGTATCTCGGGATGGCACCTGATTTTGAGAAGCAGGGGTTCTAGTACTATGATAAATAACAACGGGGACAGTGGGCAGCCCTGTCTGGTTCCGTTGCCGAGCTGAAAGGGAGCGCAGGGCTGCAATTCTAATTTGTGCTTTGGCATCGGTCTACATTGCCTTCACATAAGGCTCGGGAAGACCCAGGTGTGTCAGCAATGTAAATAGGGGTTATTTATCTGATGGCAGCCCTGCCTGTTATCACCCCAAGAAGCTGAAGTTACAGGTACAGGACCAGCACTGGGAAGAAAGGGGACTGGGGGACCTTGAGTCTGCTGTGCTGGGGGGTGGGGGGATCATGGGAGGGGAAATGTCACCTCAAGGCAGACCTAAGGGCATACCCTCTCTTGGCCATTGGAGGCAACTAAAAACCTCCATTTGTTTAAAAGTACGTAGGGATGTTGAAAGAGAGCAGGTAACTTTTTTTCTTTGGTTTTTACTATATGTATTTTGGCTGATGTGTACTATGGTCATTGCTGCTGCCCAGGAGTGATGGGAGTTTGAGCGCAGGACTTGTTTCTTTGTATTTGTATTCGCTTTTGTATCACACAGCTAGGTTGCAATGCTGCTGCCCATCCCATGTGTTCCCTATTAAGGGTTAATGTTAATAAGCATGTAGGGATGTATATGAAAAATACCCCTTTCTGGCTCATTAGAGATTTTTTTGCCAGAAGCTCAAGGAAGCAAGGCGAATGGGTAGAGTTATGACCCACCTAAGAGGTCTGCCTTGACATGGCAGGTGAGCATACCCTCTCATGGCCATTGGAGGTAACTAAAAACCTCCATTTGTTTAAAAATACATAGGTATAATTTGTGGGCCATGCACGACTGCCAAATCACATGCTTAGACAAAGATGAACTCGTAGGTCCAGCAAAAGACCTTGATGACATAATGCATAAATCATGAAAAACTGTAAAGAAGTAATAAGTAAAAATAAAGAAAATAAGTCATATAACAATGCCTTTAATTACTAAGGAAGTGCGTCCGACCTGTGACCTTAGACCCCTTCAATGATCATCCTTCCCCTGCGGCAGTATCCTTGCCCCTCCTCCCCAACTGTCCCACCTGATGTCCGTAGGTCAACAGAGTTTGGAAATCAGTGTGGTATATAGTTAACAGCCAATGTGTCCATATGCCCATGTATATTTGAGAATGTCCTGGGCTGAGAGCGTCACTTTCTCCAGTCTGAGCAGATCTTCCATTTTGTCAAAACAGACTGTTAAGGAAGGTGGTGTTTCTTGTTTTCTAAATAGGGGCAAAACTTGCATAGCTGTATTCAGTATCTTGTATCTAGTGTGGTAGTATGGTGTAAGAAATAAAAAGCGAGCCCAAAGGGAAGGGGATTGTCAGAAAACTGTGACAGGATCTCCCTGATTGCTTGCCAAAAAGGTGCTATCTTAGGGCATTCCCACCAGATATGCCAGAACGTACCCAGGCCGGTGTGACAGCGCCACCACTCATCACTTTCTATTGGTCTATGCTTCACAGAAGCCAGGGCAGGTTGTGATATTTTTTATCCAACAATTTAAATCAACGCCTATGTTGATAGTAACAAAATCTATGTAAACTGATGTGCAATATTGATGCTTACAATATAATAATTTTAACGGAGCTCCTTGTACCCTGACTCGGTACTTCCACCAAGCTCACTTCCTAGCTGTTACCAGGACACCTGGAGTGCTTCATCCCCAGTCGCCGCAGCTTGACGGGAATCTATCCAGATCCTTCCCACCTTAGAGCAGGGTATCAGGCTGTACTGCGAAGTATAGCTGTCTCAACATAACACTAGCCAAGACTTAGTGAGGGCTGAATAAGAACTGATTTTATTGAGTGAACCACAGGTTTATATGCACAGATCCCCAGCATGGAGTCTCTATTGAAAACACAGTTAACCCTGCCCTGGTGTCTCTGGGAGATAGTTGATAATCTCTTGTTAAGCTAATGAAATACTTTCCCAAAAACTTTATTTGGAACACACCTGCAGGTGAAAAAATAAATTTGATACCATCACTTTAAGAAAGTATAATTTATTAAATCTTGGTATTTCCACTTTAATAATCATCTGCAGCAATATATTTTGAAAATAATAATGCATAAGCAAAGTTTGGGATTGTTTCACAGATAATATACTTCAGTAGCATAAAATAAAGTTGATCCTGTTTAGGATTAAATAACAATGTCCATTAGACTTCAATAGCAACAACAATTTAAGTAGATCCTGACTGGGATTTATATCACAGTCTATCAGACTCCAGTAATAATAATAATAATCCAAATAATTTAGGAAAGATAAATTAGCAGAAATGGTTTCTTTCAATCAGAGCGAATTAGTAGTAACTGGATTCCAGAGGCATACATATGAATTCCTTTTTTATCCTTTCAAATAACTCAAGGCAAGAACCATTGATTAATCCCAGTAATCTAGAGAATTTAGCTGAGGAATAGAGGAAATCGTAGTAAAGTCTGTTCCGAGAGTGGACAAGTCAGAGTAGTCAGGATCAGGAGGTTCGGTACACAGGTAATTAATAGAAGGAGCTCCGTCAGCAATTAGCAACAAAGTAGCAAAATATCAAAGTGGAAAATTGATTGACCCATGTGAATGCGGCCGTGGCTTCCTTTTGACAGGGAAGCGCGTGACGTAAAACACATGGGCGGAGTTGGATCGGCGAAACCCGGAAGTCATCCGGGTAAATGGCGATCTGAGTAAAAATAATGTGGGGGAATCCTGACAGCTATTTAACTCCCAGACACACAGGTACTGGTACACACACACACACACAAACACACACACACACACGGGTACCACAATTTCCCTTAAAAACACATAGAAAACAGCTGTGCAGCCCTAATGAGTTTTTTTACACGAATATAAAAAAAATCTAATATTTTTTTAAGTTCTATTTCAAATACATAATGTATTTGTGACTTGAAGACGCCAAACTCTAATTACTGTTAATCCACTGATATACATTCAACAAAACACAGTGATAGTCAGCACATTATACTACCTCAAACTCTGTTTGTTAAGATTTAGGTCACATACAATTGGATTTTTACCACAAAGCAACATAATCAGCAATCATGAAGAGTGTGTTAACACCTTTGCAGCTGCTTATATAAGGCTTGCTTGTTTCTCTAGATATCTACAGGAACCTTACACCAGTCTGTGGCCAAGAAAGCGTTTTCCTGTCTGTTTCATTGTTTCAAGCTGCACAAAGCCAAGCAGTGTCTCTTCAGAAAGATATTGAGTATCACTGATCATTGTATACACAACCTTTGCTAGGCTGCATGTACATCACTCTGGATTATGACAACGACACTTAAGAAATTTATTGAATCCCTGGATCCCAAAACCCTCCCAAGAGTTCTACAAATTCAATCTGGATATTATGGAGGTAATAACAAATAACAGTGAGCTCTAAAAACGAACTGCAATTGTGTGATTATAAAATAGCATATTTTACGTTAAGCTACAAACACTAGTACATATTTAACTAGAGCGTTTCAATTACAAGGTTTTTTTTTCTATATTTTGTTTTTATTATTTGGAATTATTAATTTATTTATTTACATTAATTACTAAATTCTCACAGGGTTATTTACTAAAGTGAGAATTGCTAGGAATTCAAAGTAAATGCAAAGTGAATTTCAGATTTAAGGCCAAAGCAGCTGAGCTACAAAATTTCTCCAAGTCAGTTATGTACCCAGATTGGCCATTTTGGTCTTAAATTTGAAATTTACTTTGGATTCCTGACAATTCTCACTTTAGTTAATAACACTGTCCGATAGCATCCTAATTACAGTAAATGGGAAAAAGTTAAAATGGAAAGTAGTTAAAATGTAATAAAAATACTGGCCAATTTAAATTTGAAAATTACTGTATAAGCTAGTGAGTGTGTTTATCAGGATGTGGTTATTACAGTTCATTGGTCAATGGTCACCCAACATAGGAACCTGAAACTACAATTAACTTGATTTTATAGACAATTGTTTATATGAATTGTGACAAGCAATTGTTAAGGCTTCTTTGGCCCTCTGAAAATCCTTTTTTTTTACTTTTTGGCTGCACTGTTCATTATTCTTATTGAACTTCAAATATCTATTTATATTTTCTTTGACCTGTATCCAGCTGTCTTAAAGTGGTAATTTAAATTATTTGCTTTGATGCTGTATCCGATGTTTCCTTACATTAACATTTCATTATAATGCAGCATAAAAAGCCTTAAGAAATAACAACAAAGGCTATGAAATTCTTCAATGTTAAATTATGGACGCTAGTCTTATATCATATTTTTTCCTAAATATACAACCAATGCTGATAACAATAATTGACTTTTACTCTAGAAAATACAGAACAAAGTAATCCTTTATTGTTTTTCATATAAATGTAAAATTGTTTTCGGATACATAAAGGTTTGGAAGATCTAACACATGTCTAATGTGAGCTTATTTATTGGTTGTAGGGCATGTGAACCACTAAATGGTTTATGGGAAATTGCAAATGAAGGATAATTCTTTTCACCTGAGATTTGCATGTAAAGTGTTACTGACTCATATACTCAGCAGTCCATGAATTCATGCATGAGAACAAAGTTCTTTACACATGTCCTAGGACTTGCACAGCATTGGGAAATGCATGTATCCTGATGCCTTATGAAATATTAATTTTGTGAATTAAAAAGCAGAAGGTTGAACGTGTGCTATGGCTTCTCGAGAAAGTGCTTTTTTTACTGGGTCGCATTACCAATTGGGTAGAATGTCATGATATGCTGTCAAGGAGATATTGGTTATAGAAGTGCATTTGTATTATTCATCACATATAGTTATAAAGGCCTATTCACTAAACTGAGAATTTCAAAGTGAATTTCAAATTTTAAACCAAAGTAGCCAAACTAGAAGCATAGCTGACCTAGAGAATTTTTACAGTTCAGCTATTGTGGCAATAAATGTGAAATTCACTATGAATTCTAATGTGTATATAGACCCTATCTTAATAACAGTTTTGTTTGTTATATAATATAGAGATATTTAGCCGCATAATCTCCATGACTCAAGCAACCCCAGAGTGGAGATCCCTTAGTATAGGGAAAATCATTGGTCAAAATAAATGTAAACCAAGTGTGTATATATATATATATATATATATATATATATATTCATAAGGTTATTTACAACTGTTTGAGTTATTAGAAAAATAAACGTGAAATTCAAATTTTAGTCCACAATAGCTGAACTGGATATTTGTGAGTTTGCAATTAATATTTTGTATTGAATAAATATGTATTGATAAGAATGAGGTTCACTCCTAACTATATACAGGTGTAATGCTATCTGTGTTCTGTAATATGTTGTACTCGTTTTTTCTGCTAAAGTTTATATTTTCATTAAAAAAAAGTTTTAAGTTTTACTTACACATTTGTGTTTAGGTGCTGGATAAAAAAACAAAAAAAAACAACCAATAGGTATGTGTATATCAATCCTTTATACACTGCAAAACTCCATAAAATAAATTTCACTTATACTTACAAGACAGGCATAAGAAATTACCTTTGTGATAGCAATAGAGATTTTTATGGTTAAATGCAAATGAGGGCTTAATTCTTAATAATGTAACTAACACCTTGACAAGTTTTATATAAAGACAAATTAGTGAATACAAGTTAATCCACAGTTATTGGTGTGTATATACAGTCAAACTCTGTGTTTATAAGTGATTTAAGTCGGTGCTTTATAAATATTAAACATAATAATTTTATCTAGTTTACCTGTAAAACACATAATCATTTATTTTAGAAAAACAGAATTGCAGAATCTGTGACTGGTATTAAACATTGTATGTTATTTTACCTAGTAAATTCTTAATTTAGACTTACATGGCATGGTTTGGAAATAATTACTTATAATACTTACATATGAACTGTAAACATGTCGTTTTATAGTTAAAATAAATTTAAAAAAATCCTTCCAGTTCCTTTCACACAACAATGTACATTCACACAGAAAGCATTCCCAGGGTCAGCTATTTTCTCAATTTTTCATACAAATGTGATAATAGACATCTGATAATCTGATATAATGTTATTTCATTAGATCAGTTTTATCCTTGTAAAGTCTAGTTAGATATTACATTTATGGATATGCTTTTACAGCATCTCTAACAATGATTAACATCTACAAAGCAGCTTCCAGGCTATTTCAGTGTAGCTTGTACAATTGCACTATATCTTCTTTGGATGTGTATGATATGTATATGGCGTGTTAAAGCTATATCGTCAACAACAAATGCTTTTAACACATAACATTATATTGTTGAATGCAGTTTTGTTGGCATTTCAGACATTTTATAGCTCTTGTTTGTGAAGGTCTTGATATAAACACTCTGTTTAGCGATTTCTCATATATTATTAAGATGCTTGGGAAATGCATTACAGAGGATAATAGAGTGGCAGGAGAAAATTAATGTATTGGAAAATGTCCCAATTTTTGAACAAATACTCATTTCCAATAGATTTCAACAAAATAAGATAGCAGCGTTATACAGCTTTATGCACTTGGATTTTGATTTGTAGAATTTCTGCAAAATGAGTTTGATTGTATAGCGACGGTAGTTAAATGCTATTTAATATTTACCAACGGTAAATATCCTTCAGCATCTGCATTTATTAACTAGACTAGGCATCTGCATTTATTAACTAGACTAGGCATCTGCATTTATTAATTAGAAGAGGCAAATTATAAAAAGCACAATCAAAAACAACATGTATAGACATAAATAAAACCATAAAGATTACAAATGTGTAGCAAAATGAACTGCCACTCATTCAAAAGTAAAGCAATATCAATAACTATTTTAATAATGTTTCATCAATAATTCCACTTATTTCGATTAGAGCAAAATGGCAAATGTAATAGCATTTTCTATGTAACTGCATTGTTTTCTCCTAAAATATCACACGTATAGTTTTCCACCCTGTTTATACTTGCTTATGAATTCTGTGCCATTTTATGTATTTATATATTTTAGTTTTTCATGTTTGTGAGAACTTTAATTGTGTAACTTTTATTGTGTTTCACTTCCAAACAGCACCTGCTGTTTGATGTATTATGTTCCTTCCTACCTAGTTTAAAAAGATAAACAGATATTTTACATTTTGTTGCAGTGAGTGACATTTGAAGAAGATAGGACCATTAACATGTATCTTAATGCCAGTTTTTTTATGTTAAATAATATAGAGATATTTCTCTGCCTTATCTCCATGACTCAAGCAACTCCATAGTGGAGATCTCTCTTGCTACCATGTTTATGCCAAATGTGTTCTCTTTCCTGGGGACTTCCTCAGATTTCAGGAGAAAACGTACATTTATACGTAAAGAAATAGTGAATAAGCACAAGAACAAAGAAAACGACAACTGATCCCATACATTTGAGTATCATATTTTCTTCAAAAATGAGCCTCAAGGAAATGTATCATTAGACCATGTGATACACAAGGTGGATAGAAAATGATATATTTCTAGACAGAAAAACCTCACCATAAAAGAAGAATGCCATAGTACAACAGTGTTCTTTAATACCAGTTTTAATTCATTCACTGATGAATTAAGACAATTGTGCTAAATAAAAATGTATTAATTCAAGCTTGCTATCTTGGTGGTGTATTTAAAAAGAACAGACTGTGCATTTTTGTTAGCACGCATGCATTTGAACAATCTTCAAAAAAGGAGAGATTTTCAAAAAATAAGAACTTAGTTAAAAAATATCAAAACACAATATGAACTTAATTAGCATTGCAGTGCATTGGCAATCTTTGTAATGTTCATACTGTAGTATAAGTTTGTAATGCTACCATTTCAGTAGCTGAGCTCACCACACGTTGCAGACTCTCTGCAGCCTTTGCTAGTAAGAGAACCTTAGCACTGCATTTTTTATTCTTTTAATGCTCAGCTCCCTTTTAAAACTGCACACGTACTGACCCTAAGAATTCCCTAAAATGAATGTTTCATTAAACAATTAAGTTTGAGAATGGCTTTTTATTTATTTTTTATTATATAGTCTCATAGAATAGTGGTGTCCACTTTTGATCCATCAGCTGTTAGTCACTACAGTATTGTGGGATTTGTAGTCATTTCAGCAATTGCTGTAGGGCCAAAGATGACCTCCAGTGCCATGGAATGATATATAATTTAAGAACACAAAGAATTTGCTTTATATTGCAATCCACCTGTAAATGTTTCAGCTTCATAATACTTGCTTCATAGATCATTTTCTGCTTACAAATGGAACAAGACAGAGTTTTCCATTATCCCCATTATTATTTGTTATGGCAAGATAACCCCCAGCAGAACTTATAAGACAAACATCTGATATAGTAATAAAGTCCACAAAATAGGTTTAGTGGTGGATGATATTCTATTATCACTTAATAAATCTATTACATCACTTCATAATATTCTAAACGAGTTGGAGAAGTGTCATATTACAAGCTTAACCTTCAAAAACACAAGCCCTATCATTTAATATTCTATGTTTTACATTTTTGATTGAGTAAGAGAAGAATACACTTTTGAATGGAAAAAATTTTTTTTGAATATCTTGATATAATTTAATGTAAAAAGTAAATCAAGATGCATACAAACAATCTGAGAAAAACATGGCCAACCTACAAAAAAAAATGGAGAGAGGGTGTGATGTTGAGCTCTCATGGCTGGGCAGACTGACATCTATGAAGATGAACATCCTGCCCAAAATATTATATTAATTCCTTATTATTCTCCTATTTATCAGTAACCTGCTTCAATGAGATTCATTCAGCTATGATCATATGTATGTGAAAAAAAAAAAATGAGGGTATAACTTACAACTTTACAGCATCTTAAAATAAATGGTGGTTTAGGAGTTCCAGATTTTCGCAAATATTCTCATGCAACAAATGCTGCCTCTGCTTTTGAATTTAATTAAAATCCTACCAAACCAAGATGGTTGGAGATGAAGCCAGATGAATGAAATCCCATTTCCACTGGATAAATACTATGGTTACCCATATCTCCCGAACCCCTGAACCGAATGAGATGATTTTTTAATATGTTGTTCCCCCAGAATAGGGCTATCGGGGACACTGGATTTATGCATGTACCCCAGGTATTTGGGGTACATCCAAAACTTGGGGAAAAATGTGACTTTGTTAATTGGGTTACAGGCTTATCTGAGGGGAGGAGATGTGTGGGATGTACCTTATGTTTTATTGGTTGTTGTGTTAATTATGTGGGTGTCTCCCTTGCATGGGCAGAATCACATAAAAGGAGAGTACCTGCCATTAAAATTCAGTTCTTCTTGACCCTTCAAAACGTAGCCTTGTCTCGTTCTTGAAAGGGGATATGCAGCTTAATCACCTAGCTCTTTTAAGAGCTCTGCCTGACTATTGCCTTGGATCCAGTGGATGGGAATAAGCAACTCCACCACTACACAGCGACTTGATGGGAAGAAAAGGACGTCTCCAACGGCTGATACCCTCCTACTACCTGGGTAGCCGTTGCACTCATCTACTCAGTGGGGTGGGTTCCCCATAAATAGAAGTTGCACTGAGTGAAGGTACTGCGTCAGAAGAAGATGTCCCGATCTCCCAACTATAGCGGAGGCTCAGGATCCCTGTCAGCGACAGAAGAAAGTGTAACTGCTGCTAGCTACGGCTTGTTGCCAGGAGCAGGGCAAAAAAGGGTTACATAAACATGCCAAGGCTGTGTATAAATTGGGGTTATAATAACACCAACTTCCAGACAGAATATACTAATCACATATACTGAGGGAGTTTCTTAACAGTTCCTCATACACATGATAATATCAGTCACATACACTGAGGATGTTTCAACAGTAAATCATATATAGCCTACATCTGCTATATATAGTGACATTATGCCTCCACACCAGAGCATATATTAAGATTATATGTGAGAGAGATAAATTGAGGCTGAGTTTTCGCAGAGCTTCATGCACAGATTATACTACTCACATATACTGAAGATATGACTAACAGCAACCCATACACAGAGCTTGTGTTAGATGTATATACTTAAAGGACCACTATAGTGCCAGGAAAACATACTCGTTTTCCTGGCACTATAGTGCCCTGAGGGTGCCCCCACCCTCAGGGACCCCCTCCCGCCCGGCTCTGGAAAGGGGTTTAAACTTACCTTTTTCCAGCGCTGGGTGGAGAGCTCTCCTCCTTCTCTCCTCCTCCGTTCCGCCCGTCGGCTGAATGCGCACGCGCGGCAAGAGCTGCGCGCGCATTCAGCCGGTCGCATAGGAAAGCATTTACAATGCTTTCCTATGGACGCTGGCGTGCTCTCACTGTGAAAATCACAGTGAGAAGCACGCAAGCGCCTCTAGTGGCTGTCAATGAGACAGCCACAAGAGGATTAGGGGGAAGGCTTAACCCATTAATAAACATAGCAGTTTCTCTGAAACTGCTATGTTTATTAAAAAAATGGGTTAACCCTACCTGGACCTGGCACCCAGACCACTTCATTAAGCTGAAGTGGTCTGGGTGCCTAGAGTGGTCCTTTAAGTTGTCTTCACAACAGCTCATACACATTTTACTATTGGATTCATATATAGAGGATGTGCCTTATATCATACACACAGGGCCGTCTTTAATTTTGATTGCACCCTGGGCAAGCATTTACTTGGGCCCCCTGACTATATATAGATACACACAAATACACTACCTGACACACATGCAGATACACACTGACCGCATGTAGATACACACAAGAACATACAGATACACACAGACTACATATAGATACACTGAAACACACATAGACATACACACAGATATAAACACTTACATACATGCAGATACAAAGGTACACCCATTGACTACATATAGATACACACACACACTGACCACATCCAGACACACAGATACACAACCTAAAACACATGCAGATATACAGATACAAACACTGACACATACAGATACACACACAAACGGAAAACATACAGATACAGAGACACATTCTGACAGACGTACTGACACAGACAGTCATACTGAAACACACATACACAAAGACATACTGAACCACACAGACACTGACATACAGATACACTGACAGACATACTGGCACATATACACACAGATAGACGGACATACTGAAACACACATACACACAGACATTGACAGACATATTGACAAACACAGACATACAGAACCACATGAACACTGACAGACTCACACAGACATACTGACAGACATACAGACATTCTGGCACACACACACACAGACAGACATACTGAAACACACATACACATGTACAGACATTTTGACACGCACAGACAGCCATACTGAAACACACATACACAAATACATACTGAACCACACAGACACACAAACACACATATATTTTCTGGCACACTGACAGACATACTGGCACACATACACACAGACAGACAGACATACTGAAACACACATACACACAGACACTGACAGACAAACACACATACAGACATTTTGACACACACAGACAGCCATACTAAAACACACATACACACATACATACATACTGAACCACACAGACATTGACAGACTCACACACACACACAGACATACTGACACACTGACAGACATACACACATACACTGACAGACATGCACACACACAGACATACTGACACACTGACAGACATACACACATATACAGACATACTGAAACACACATACAGACATACTGAACCACACAGACACTGACAGACTCTCACACACACAGACATACAGATACACTGACAGACATACTGGCACACTAACAGACATACACACATACTGACACACTCATGCAAAATTTGATAACCACCCTCCAGTTTCTTACCTTTTTCTGGAGGGTGGCTTCCCTGGGGTTCAGTGGGCTGGCTGGGGTGACTGGGAGTTAAGCTCTCCCGGCCTGGCCCCCTCCGGAACAGCTGGTCCTCCTTCCTCCCGCGCGGCTCCTGTTTCTGTAGGAGGAAGTGACGCACGGCTGTCACTTCCTCCCAGTGCTGCCGAAAAGCAAGGGCCTGGTCGCGCTGTTAAAGCGCCACAGCGCCCGACCGGGCCCATGCTGACACAGGCCCACTGGGTGGCCCTAAGTGCATGGGCCACCCGATGGGCTCCCATAGTTTGCGGGCAGAGGGCAAACAGGGCAGTTACCTCGGGCCCCCCTAGCAGGGACAGGGCCCGGGGCAGCTGCCCTGTTTGCCCCGCGTTAAAGACATGTGTATGCTCCATCCGGAGCATACACATGTACTGTTGTGTTTCCATAATAATACATCAAGCATATAGTGGACCGACTTACATATGGAGCATGTAGAGGACATATACTGAGGCCGTGTTTTCACAGTAACTCATACATAGAGCATTTAGTGAACATACATCGAGGCTGAGTCTTCAGACCAACTCATACATAGACCATATAATGTATACATATACATTGGCTGTGTCCTCATAGTGGCTCTTACGTAGAGCATATACTAGACACACACTAAAGCTGAGTCTTCAGACCAATTGATGCATAGAGCATATAGTGGAAACATACTGATGCTGTGCTTCAAACCAGTTCATGTACAGAGATGTTTATTCACATATACTGAGACGGTGTCTTTTCACCAGCTCATATAGAGAGGATATCATGGTCTCAAATGCTGATATAGATAAGCAAGAAGATTTTAAACTATATATTTTCTTCCACTCTCTGAAAAAGCATGCTTATTTGCTATAATGCACAGATAACAGCAATCAATGCCACGTGCCTTGATAGAAACAAGTGTGTGTGTGTGTGTGTGGAACGTTTTCTCTCACCTTGGATATTTCTCTGTCTTCAGGACTTTGGAATACAGGCAGTCTTTATACAGCCATGGTATCCATGATCAGCACTCTTGCACAATGCATCCTTGCATGTATCAACTTACCTAAATGCTCACCACATAAACCTCCTAAATGTGACCTATTTGTTAGAAGGAAGCATAATGCAAACAACGGGGAGGGACTGAAAGGACAGAAACCCAGGTGCCTATACTAGTCTTTAATCTAAATTACTAATACACTTACCTGAACAGCTGCAGGCCTGTGTTTCAGTGGCAAATGTGGATTTGAACAACTGACAGACTAAACTGTTTAAACTATAGGCTTCCATCTGTACCCCATATGCCATGGAAGAAGGTTTAAAACAGACCTCGGATATGGTGGTATACATAAAAGTGGCATACCCAGATAATCACCTTATAGAAGTGCGGGTCACTGGGTCTTCAGGGAAACGAGTCTTAGACTCGGCTGGACCTCATGTATGCAGTGGACCGCTGTCATCCCTTCAGGGAGACAGATAGGTCAGACCCCAGGTTGCAGAAGGAGGTACCCAGGCAGATGTTCTGTTTGCTGGGTCTTCAGGGATAACAGGTGGAACCCTGGCATGGCTTCATGTATGCCGTGGACCGCTGTCATTCTTTGAGGTGAAAGAATTGTGTCACTAAAGGGGTTACCCAGGCTGGCGACTCATAGAGATGTGCTGTTGCTGGGTCTTCAGGGATTAGAGGCTGAACCCTGGCATGTATGTGTGATGGATAGAAATTAATGTGAGTAAAATGTCTATTTACTATGTGTACCTGTGCTCATTCATTACTCAAAATGGCTGCTAGAGCACCTCCTCCCATCGAACAAGACCCTCGTGTAGTAAGATGGCGTCTCCATCCGGAGCTACACCTAAGATGATGATGACATCAACACCCTGGAGGAAGTCCATCGTGATAAAACACTTAACATCTAACCAATTAAATGTTTACTTACTAAAACACCTAACACTTAACCAATTGAAAAGTTTACTTTCTGTATTTGCACACGTTGCATTATTTTGCCTTTTTAAGGGGCTACGCCACCCTCCGACAATATACTTGGAAGTTTTCATTTTAACTGAACTTTTGGTGTCAGTGTGATTTCTTCAGCGTGCACGCATCATTTCACTTTACATATTTGGACAGGGGCAGATATTCAAGCAAGCATTGCATATGTTTTGATCTAAAACATATGCAATGGGCCATTTACATCCCCTGAGGGAGAGATTGGGTCTGACCCCTGGTCACTTAAGGGGGTTCCCAGGCTGGCCACTCTTACAATAGTGCTGTTGCTGGGTGTTCAGGGCTTAGAGGCTGAACCCTTGCAGGGCTACAGAAGTATTGCCTGGTGAGCATAAAAGAAAAATCTAGGCCCTCTTAAGCAGACTACTTCCAAACTGCTGTGAAGGACATGATAAAGACTGCCTGGTGGGAAAGGGGAGGATCTATTAATTCCAATTTTAGAGTTCTATTTCCTGTCCTTTCTGCTGTGAGGTGATGAGCTGACCCATATGTAAATGCTGCCATGATTGATCAGGAAATTATGTTTTTGGCAGAGGAACCCTCGAATAAGAAGATGTGTCTACATGTTTTAGCTATGTGGTGATGAGGTTTTCAGTGAGTGGTTCTCGGCCCATTTCTTATTGCATGGATTATCTTTGTTATGGGGTAAATGTTTGAACAGTTAATGGCAAATGTGTATAGCAGCTTTTAGCTTACAGGGCAGAACAACTTATTTTTTCACGTATCAAGTCTGTGTTTTAAGCTAGATTTTAAATGTAAGGTTACTAAACTTTTTTTTTTTTACATTTAATGATGTTTATTTCCACATACTTTATGTTGTCTCTTGTAGTAAAACGGATGCAATGCACATCTAGTTAATCTTTGTCTCGGATATCAAGAGTTTGTGTGTCTTGTTTAAAAATAGAATACCAGGGCAGACAATATGGTATATATTTTTCATGAATATGGAATATATTTTTAAGTTTATTTACAAATCATTTTAGGGCATGAGGTGAGTTATGAGGTGTGTAAAAAAATATTACATACTTATACATTGCTTTAAAGCAACATGCTTAGCAATGCTAAGAATTATTATGCTACATGCAAAATATGTAATCCATCAGCTAACAGATACCAGCAGTAATAACACCATTATTGAACCAACCAGATCACATTTATAATCATTTATTTTAACATTCTATCTCCCTTATTTGAAGTCACTGACAATGAATGCTCAATATCAACTGGAGAAGTCATCACGGTCACTGGATACAAAGTCCAAAAAGTCAGAGCACATATTCATAGCAGTGAATACGCCGATACTGTGGAACTGCCTCTTAATTTTCCAGGTACTGTGTAAATAACCTTTCTTGAATATATTATTACAATATAATCCATCCCAAAAAAAATGAAACATGCACTGAAATATTCAGCTTTTTTGGTATCAACATTGCTGTTTTTTGGATAATGTAATGCATGACCCTGATGGTGATTTGATAGTAAGCCTTGTTAACCTAGGTTTCTGAATTATATTTGCCATAATCCTTAGTCAGGCATAGGGCATCTGTAGTATCAATGCTGTCTCATGTGCTGTCTCTCTTACCGTTATACTTAAGTTTAAAAAAAAAACACTCAGAGCACCATAACCACTATAGCACACTGTAGTAGTTATGGCACTCCTCCCATTGTAAGGAGGTAAACTGTTTTTGAACCATTTTACATCATAGATGTGGTACATTGGGCACCATTCCCTAGCTTTTTTTTTTTTACTATTGTTGCAGAGCTGGATGTTTCTAAGCAGAGACATCCATTTGCTCTTTTGATTTAAAGGGACATTATAGTCACCAGTGCAACTACATGTATTCCTGACCCTATCGTGTTAAAACCACCATCTAGCCCCCCTGGGCCCCTCATGCCTCCATAAATATAGTAAAAATCTTACTGTATTCAAGCCAGAAGCTGTAACTCTGCATGGTGTTTGCCTAAAAAAAACAAAGCAGTCTGCTGACATCATCAGAAGTGGTAGCCTGATCCAACCACAATGCTTCCCCATAGGATTGGCTGAGACTGACAAAGAGGCAGATCAGGGACAGAGCCAGCATGATTCAAACACAGCCCTGGCCAATCAGCATCTCCTCATAGAGACGAATTGAATCAATGAATCTCTGAGGAAAGTTCAGTGTCTGCATGCAGAGGGAGGAGATACTGAATCACAGGATGCTGTGCACAGTGCTGCCCTGTGCTCTGCTGACAGCAGGTCTGAGTGGATGGAGGCATATTATGCCTCCATCAACTCCGAAGTCCCTCTGGTTCACTTTGACTGACTGCAACTGGAGGTGTTACTAGCTTTCAATGTAAACACTGTATTTTCCCAGAAAATACAGTGTTTACATGAGAGAGGCTACAAGGAGCTATAGTTCTCACCTGAACAACCTCATTAAGCTGAAGTTGTTCAGGTGACTATAGTGTCCCTTTAAGCACTGCGATGAAGGAATGAGCTAATTTGTCTGAAACAGATTAATGGAGCGGCACCAGGGCAATGCTGACACTGTAGTCTCTTTAGCAAACTGTAGTTGTTATGGTGCTTGCAGTGTTCATTTAACCCCTTAAGGACACATGACATGTTGGTTAATGGTATTTTTTTGTTACATGAAAAAGTTACATCACTCAATTGCTAAATGCTTATTTGATATCTAATATCAAGTATAATATTTTAATCATGCAGGTACCACTGCAATCTAATGTTAAGCAACATGTTTGTTTGGACTTACATTGCTTTATAAAAATGTTGTAAACTCACAGAAAAGATGAGCTGCTAAATATTTATTGGCTATGCCCACAAACAAAACAATCAAACCAAATGGTGCAATCGCATTCCATTCCATTGAGTTTAAAAGATTTTAAATTCCTAACTATTGATATGTAAATTGATGTATAATGGAATATAGACAGGGTATAATAGGAGAGACGACACATCAAGATCATTTAATCCCTTCAAAACTAAACCAAACCACAAAAAATATTAGCATTAACATTTGTTGAAAACCTTAGATGCATATCTAGGACATAAATGTACACTGATCAGCCACAACATTAAAACCACTGGCAGGTGAAGTGAAAAACATCAATCATATAGTTGCAATTGCACATGTTAAAGGGTAGAATATACTCAATTCTTTATTTAGTTATAGAGAAAGTCAATGGCAAAATATGTAGTAGATGCCCGTAAAGAATTTTTCATTTTTGTAGTAAAAGCAGAATAACAAGTAAAAGTAATTTCAATACGTGTCTGTAGCGGCTTTACAGAGAATGCAAGATGAACAACACTCTTTTACAGGCATTATATAACAGTGATTAATAGTAGTTACTTGACAAGTCAGCAAAAGTTATCTGATAGTAAGAGAATGCAGTGTTTAACATAGACACATGCAGCAAGGGGTGGAATATATTAGGCGGGGGGAACAGTCATTTCTTGGATTTCATGTGCTGTAACCAGGAATAATTGGTAAGTGAAAACATCTGAGTGACTTTGACAAGGGCCAAATAATAGTGACTAGATAACTGGGTTAAAGCATCTTTAAAATAGCAAGTTTTGTGGCTTGTTCTTGGTATGCGTTGGCTAGTACTTACCAAAAGTGGTGCACGGAAGGCAAAGGGTCGTGGGCACCCAAGGCTCATTAAAACCATGTGGGAAGCGATGGCCAGCCCATTTGATCCAATCATAGAGAACAGCTACTGTAACTCAAATGGCTGAAAAACTGCAGGTGTCAGAACACATAGCGCATCACAGTCTGCTGAGTATGGGGCTGCAGACCAATTAGAGTGCCCACAATAAACCTTGTACACCACCAAAAAGGCTTCCAATGTAGACGTGAGCATTAGAACATGGAGCAATGGAAGTAGGCTGCCTAGTCTGATGAATCATGTTTTCTTTTAGCTCAAAGGGATGGCTGGGTGGATGTGCATCGTTTACCTGGGGAAGAGATAGCAGCAGGATGCCCTATGGGAATAAAGCAGGCCTGCAGAGCCATTGTTATGTTCTGGGCACTGTTCTGCTGGGAAACCTTGGGTTATGTCATTCATGTGGATGTTACTTTGACATGTACCGCCAGGCCGGTGCTAGATTATTTTGTGCCCAAGGCAAGACCAACTACTTGCACCCCCCAAAACAAAACTGGTAACTTTGATTCTTAAAAACAGTTTATAGAATAAAAAAATGAAAAACATAAAATGTGAAACTACTATGTTGTCCCAGCTTCTCTGTATGACTCTTGGCCCCAGCCCTCTGTGTGTCTTTTTGCCCCCAAACCCTTCTGGGTGCCCCTTTGTTCCCCCAGTCCTATCTGTTTGTCTTTGCCCCCAGTCCCTCTCTGTGTCTCTCTATCTGGCCAGCTCCTCTGTGTATCTCTTTGTCTCTGACAGCCCCTCTGTGTGTCTCTTTGTCCCCCAGTCCTCCGTGTGTTTCTTTGTCCCCCTTAGCCCTTCTGTGTATCTATTTGGCCCCCCAGCCCTCTGTGTGTCTATTTGTCTGCTTGTGCAACCTTCTGTCACTTTTTTGTTTCTTTCCTTATGTCCCTCATATTTTCTCTCTTTCTCTCTCTCTCTCCCCCCCCCAGTCCTTCGAAATCTCTAACAGTTTTTCTCATTGTCATTGCCTTAGAGCCTGTCACAGTCTATACCTATCTGTCTCCCAGTTCCTGTCCTCCAAAGTCTGTCACAGTCTTTACCTGTCTTTTTTTCCCAGCATCTGTCCCTCACAATCTTTAACAGTCTATGCCCTATCTCTCTCTCTGTAAGCCACCCATGGTCTTTCCCTGTTTTCTGAGTTCTTGTCCCTCACAGGCACTTATCTCTCTCTCAGTGTCTTACAGTGTCTGTTTTTCTCCCAGTGTCTATCAATTAGTGTCTATCCCTGACTGTCAACTTTCACATTTTCTGTTTACAAGATTCTCTACATTTCTAACAATTTATGCTATTTATATTTACATTACAAACTCAGTCTCCATTCTATTATTATCTTGTGTCTGGTAGCGAGAGCAGGACTGAGAGCAAAGCAGTCAGTACAGCAGAGTTATCTCTCCATCTCTTTCAGGGTCAGACAACTTATTCATAGCTGTACATAAATCACAGAGAAGGCCTGGGACAAGGCTAAATGGTGTGTGGAGTCTATATCATTACCGTGAGAGAGGATACAGGATTTAATAAGGGGGTGCTCCATTGCCTTGTGACGTGCATGGCATTAAGTGTGGGTCCCTGGCTGGCACACAGGGCTGATGCAAAGATTTCTGCTGCCTTAGGCAAAGATGCATTTTGCCGCCCCCTCATGTCACTCACTCACTGACAGACACACACTGGCAGACACACACTCACTGACAGACACATACAGACACGCACTCACTGACAGACATACGCTCACTCACTGACAGACATACGCTCACTCACTGACAAACATACGCTCACTCACTGACACACATACGCTCACTCACTGACACACATACGCTCACTCACTGACACACCCACAGAAACTCACTGATAGACATACACTCACTCACTGACACACACACACACACACATTGACAGTCAAACACTCACTCACACACTCACTGACAGACACACACAAGAGCTACTCGCCGATGCTGCAGCAGCCCAAGACAGGAGAGCCCACCAGGAAATATCCCGGTAGGCCCCCCAGTAGGCCAGCGTCCTAGGCGAATGCCTAGTTCGCCTAACGGTTGCGCTGGCCCTGCTGGCACATTTCTCTCCAGTGTACATCCAACAGTAAGGAAGTGTGCAACGCTGCTCCCACTGCAAATAAACCAAAGGACCAACATTACCATACATTCCTATGGAACTCCAAACCCGAATATAGTAATGTAGCCCTACTTATTTGGGCTTTTATAATTTGTTAACTCAAAGTGATGCAACCTAGTAATCAAGTACCAAATTTCAGTGTGTTTTGATGTATAAATTGACAGGGGCTCAGTGAATATATATAAATAAAACTTAACATTTTGTCACTTTTTTCCAATATTCCTCTTAGGCTTGTTTAAAATTGTTCCTGATAAAACCTCTTATTATTCCATTGAAGAGATAGTGAAAGCACTACATGTTGGTCACACGCGATTTGGACATCCAGGCTTTTATAGCTGTTCTAATTTACATGTGGGAACAGTAACTGTTTGCCAGAACGAGGAAATCATTATCAAATCTGTAGAGGATTCAAATGGAGTCATGTCAGTTAACTGTGAAGTGTTTATAAATGGAGAACGTCAATGCTTTGTATTACCTTTGTCATACAAAGGAGAGTTCTATGAATATAAAGATGAGAAAATATACACATTGAAGGAGATAACGGACTGGAAAATTCCAAAATGTAGAAAAAGGACTGTAATTCTTACAGATCTTACAAAACTACTGGAACTCACAAAACTATTTCCCAATGCTTCTAATGCAATGATGACCCTAGAGCCAGTTTATGAAATTCAAGCACTGCTGGAGTGTAAGTACCAACCTAATATTAAATTATTTTATATTCAATCTGAAGTTGCATCAAATTAAATTTAGATTCATATTATGCTTCTATCTTCAAATACTCTTTGGAGTACTTTGTACTTTGCAAATTAATATAGAATGTATGCTTTAAAATGTCAAGAAAGTTAAAAGGGATATAGCACTTATGATAATATTTGGGTGTTTGGGTATGTTGGGTATCACACATTTGGTCAGAACCGTAAGTAGGTTTTGATAATGTGTTTTCATTCAGGAAATTTACACTTTGCCATTGTAGATAACCATACTGTGCTTTGTGTTTCTTGTGTGTTCATCCAAATACAGAAAATGTTTTTACAGTTTAATATATAATAGATATGCATAATTAAATATACATTTAATTATGCATTTTTTTTTTATTGGGACTATATCTAAAACCAGCTTGCAAAAGCTGCAGATCTCTTGTCTGCTGCCTTTGCAAGCCCTGCCCTTTTTCCTAGTCCAGACTTTATGTGACTGTCCAATCACAGACTTCCCAATGCAGCTCAATTAGAAGTCCTTGCAAGGCAGGTGCTCTGGGGAAATGTTGCCTTTTGAGTTTAGCTTCTCTGAGCTAAACTATCAAGAAATAGCATGATCACAAGGGAGTGTAACAAGGTTAATTTATAAAAAAGTAAAATTTTTCATTGAAATCTGCACTTATTGTAAAATGTCAAAAAAAGGACATACTCTTTACACATAATGCACTTCAGAAAGCTTAGGGTTCTAGAGTGTCCATTTAATTACTCTTTGAATCAAAGTATTTGGTATGTTGTGATTTTATTGCTAAAAAGGTGTTTTGATTAATTTTGTATTCTTGGTTGTAACATTACAAAATGTAGAACTATCCAAATGGTGTGAAAATGTATGCATGGCACGTTCACCTTGAAATCCTGAGTTATAAGGATACGTTTTAAGAACATAGATCAATAAGTATGTCTTGGAAAGTTGAGGGCTGTGAAGTTTCACCAGTAGAACTTGCTCACTGTAGGTATTTAAACTGGTCAACATGATCAAACTGTCTGGCTGAGAAGGTTATTTTTAATCTATACATTCTAAATCCTCAGTAAATGTACTGACAGAAATGTATATTTATTTGAAATGTTCTTCCATTAATATGAATACGACATTTATGATATATAATATGGCATTATTATTAGGACCTTATTATTTCTATTCTTTTAATATCTCTGATACCACAATGGTCTTTGTTCATGATGGACATGTGTGGAGATGAAACAAAACCCTTACCAGACAATTTCTATATTTGATTGAGCGTCTGTCTGACAATTATTATTGGAGGTAGGATGAGTTATCCTACACTGAAATCAAGTGATCTTGCCATAACTGATTGATGTATTAGTTATATTCAGATTGATATTATATTAATATATATATATATATAATGTAAAAACAGGGGAAGGTACCAGCGCTAATATTCTGACAATGATCAAATTCAACAGTATAATAGCCCAACTAATGGTCAGCTGCTATATCACCTAGGTCTTATCTTTCAACAACAAAGTATAGCTAGTGTGAAGGTGAAGCGCTATATTATATATGGGTGAAACCAAAATAGAAAGTGTTCCGTGCAGTGGAGAGCAGAGATATAATTCAAAATCCCTTGACTTGTTTTATACAAATCACAATGGTTCATATGCAGTTCCCTAGAAACATAAGCAAAAAAAAAAAACAAACATAGTGCAAACTGTGGTACAAAGGTAAGTATATACAAAGGAGAATATACATTTCGCACTCACACTTTCAGTAGCTAAATATATATAGCTCAATAGAATCGCTTTCGGGGTCCGTAAAGGCAACCCTTATCCCTTCTTTAATATGCGTTCTTCTCTCTCTTGTATTCTATAATATATAAAGAAGAGCACATATGGTGCAATAACGTAGGTCTTATTTCTTGTGATAAGTAAGGTAAATAGGGTACTTACAAACCCAGAGCTATCCACATTGGCTCTGATCAAATAGCATATGTGGTTAAGGACCACAATCCTTCTTTAAAAATAGCAGGAAAATGCCAATAGTGACTATAAAAGATATATAAACTTTATTGTACTATTACCAATAAAATGTAAAAAACTATTATAAAATAACACTATATGGGCATAAAAGTCCAGTAATCCAAAATCTGTTCCTCACAGTATTCTCAGGACGCGTTTCGCCGTGAAGGTTTCCTCAGCCAGATGTGAAAAAGTCTTTGTGTGTGTGTGTATATATGTATATGTGTGTATATATGTATATGTGTGTATATATATATATATATAATGGATCATGAACATAAATCATATATTCCATTTAATGTTTTTAAAAAAATAAGATACTTATCCTGATGTCAAAAATGGTGTTAGAGCAGACTGTGCATTTCTGAAGGATCAATATCTAGAAAATAAGTAATTATGTTTTCTAAATTTTGCATGATTAGTTGCTCAGCCATTCAGCTGCATCTCGGCCTCAGTAAAAAGGGAAGTGGAAAGGGTACTGTACACATTATTTTAATTATATCATTATCCATCACCAGACTAATAGTTTTTATTGTAACAAAACCTGCGGTAGGGGGTGCTTCCACACCTGCCCCCTGGCTCGTGACTCCAATTTCCATTCATATAAAGGTGCAAGGCATTGCCACTACACTGAATTGCTGCACTTACTGTAATAGAGAGCAGTACTGCTTGTGTGAGAGTTACCTGCTCTTTACCTATCAATTATATTTTGGCATTCACATTATGTCAACTGTATAGTGATGTATGGTGCAAATTCTGAGAGGGTTGACTTAATTTAATCTTGTTATTTTGTGAAATGTTTGGCTTGAAAAATGTATAGAAATTGAAACAATATACATTTCAAATGTTTAAACATATTGAATATATCTTGTGCAAAAAATATGTCATAGTTAGATTGTTCATTTGACTATGTTTATTTTTTTCCAGTTGGGAAAGACATTATTAATCTTTTAACGGATCTTGATATAGAAGTCCTGGATATCACCCAAAAGTTTGATGTAGAATATTTTATTCAAATTTTAACAACACATGAAATCTTTGAAAGAACCTCCAAAGAATTTCCCATGATTGCCGAAATTATAGAAGGCCCATTAAGAAGTCACACCGCTTACAGGTTATTACAACATGGGAAAAAGATTATAATTCATGCAAAATACCAAGCGGATCGTGTCATTGCTTCAGAATTAAGAAGTGATACAGCAAATAAACATTTTCTGATACCATCGTCTTACAAGGGGAGGTTTAAAAGGAGACCCCGTTTTTTCCCAACTGTCTACGATTTAAATATAGCGAACAGAGAAACAGATAATCTTCATGTTGTGGCAACAAAGGCATTTCAATCATCCCACCAAGAATTCTCTTCAGTAAATGTTGGAGATCAGTTTCAGGCAAAACATTTCCAATCTTGTAAAATAAAATCTGATGGTAAAACAACCATAGTAGATGCATTAGTCTGTGCAAAAATGGAAAACAAATGCTGCGTAAAGTCTACTATTCCACTATATGTGGAAGGCGGCTTTATGGAGGTGGTGCATGATAAAAGACAATACTACGTATCAGAACTATGCAAAGATTTTCAGTTACCTGTGAATGTTAAAGTCTCTGTGAGGGATCTGTTTACTGTGGCAGAAGACATTTTAGCTGCAACATCAGTACTACAACTTGAAGAGCAGATAACAGACTCTTACCTGCTTGTTAGTTTGTTAGACAACCCTAAAGAGGTATGGGAACTCCCAGTTCACCGTGTCAATTTAACTGTTCGCTTGATTGGCAACTTTTATGGTGATACGTATTTCTCACCAACAAGGACCAACGTAGAGGAAATTAATGAGGAAGAATACTATATGCTGCGGAGATATGAAAGCCATGTTCACCACCCACCACCAAGGCCTCCAAAGACCCCGGTAAATACTTCTATCATTGAAAACTCTGTGATCAGTGAATCGAACCAAGATATGATATCTGAGGTATATTTTTTATCAATATTTTTCACATTATAAGCTATTTAAAATTGTATATGTTTTCAGGTGATTGCACATTTTTGTTTATTCATGTGATTTACTCAGATAAATACATACATTTACAGAAAGTGATACATAGTTTTAACTGATTTGCTAAACATAAAATATTCTATAAGGAAGGTTAATCAAGTATACTTACAGGTTCTAGAGTGTCAAATAGCATATGTATTTACGCACAGTACATATTACTTTTAGGGTATAATGTAGACACATGTGCCTGTAAGTTGTTTAATACAATTAAAGAGATTCTATAGTGTTAGGGAAATAAATTCTGTATTCCTAACGTAGGTCGTGTCGCTGGCCGCCCGCTTATGGAGCCAGGGTGGAGATAGTATCTCCTAATCTGAACTGTGAATGTTGAGCTAAAGTAAAGTAAACACTAACGAGGGAGTAAATGTAAAAGTTATGCATACATGCGTATAAAACTGGTATATATAATGTGCCTAAGAGGCCTTCAACTGGGAGTTCTAGTCCCCACTACAAAGTACATCATGGAATGTTGTAGGGGTGAGCGTCCGCTCAGCTCAAGTTGGGGGGTCCGTCGCCCTTGGTACCATTCCCCTGGGCGCAAAGGGGGTGACTTCAGCGAGATTCCACGATGGGCGGGCGCTTGTGTTCACCGCTGGCGTTGAGATGCCTATTGACTGGAAGAAAGTTTGTGCCGCTGAAGCGCTCATTAGGAGGTGTGTCTTACTGTCATGGTCCACCATCAGTCTGTGGGGACCCCATTTGTAAGGGATAGAATTTTCTTGTAGGTGCTGCGTAATGTGGCGGAAGGTTCTGCGCCATGTGAGGGTGTGTCTCTGTACAGTGCTCCTTGAAAAGTAATTGTGGGGGAACCCCGTGCTGCTCCCATAGGGCCCCCTGTCAGAGTACCGAACCAATTTAAATAATATATCCCTCGGGGCCTTTGTCGCTTTAGGGAGTCGGAAGCAGGAGTCAATTCCAACCTGTTTAGCCTGTTTTGGGAGTTACAAAGTGGCTATCAGCCTTCTGCAGTAGTGTGGCAATTCTGCGGTATCGATTGTTTCAGGTACCCCAAACATCCCCCTGATTTCCAACATCATAGCCTTTATATTGGCTCTCGTGGATGGTGCCAGGTCGCCTAGGTCTGGTGGCTGCTGGGGCTTAGTTTGTACCTTAGACTTTGCAGGTAGGGAGTCCGGTAAGCTGTCGTCATCTGAGGACTGCGAGGTAAAGGCCTCTGCCGGCGCCATCTTGGCGGGCTCGAGGCGCTGGGTCGGGCGCATGAAAGTGCCTATATCTCTGGATCCGGAGCTTGGTTCCTGGTTTTTTACTTTTTAACCCCATGGTCCAGGGCTTTTTCTCGGGGCCCCGTTGTGGATTTAGCCTCCGTTTTAGCCGTATTATCAGGTCGGCTGTCAGAGCTGCGGTAAGCTGCGACTTTCTCGTTCAGGTGCTGGCTCCGCCCCTCATGAACAATAGTTTTAAGTTCCATTTGCCCACTGGCAGTGCTATCAGCCAGTGAGAAAATTGTTAAAAACCCTAGGCGGTGTGAGAGTCAGTTATGTGGTGTCTGGCCAGCTGTTGCTAACAATCCGTCACATAAAAAAAAAAAAGAAGAAATAAATAAATTTTAAAATCCCATGAGTTTCAATATGACTCCCATATTACAATAATGGAGGGTTTTAACCTTCCTATTCCTCCACCTGGCATGCCCTTTGATGCCATATCTGCCTGAAGTATGAAACTATTGCTACCCAGCATTGCTGCTTAAAATACTACTGCCCAGTGGCTACAAAGGCAGTGCTTCTCCATCCAGGTGGCTAGGGGTCCTCAAACCCCTAGCCACCCACCATTGAAAATAAGGAACCCTTATAATAGTGAGTTTGGCAATAAAACAAATACATGTTAAAAAATATGTTATACTTATCACCGAAGTCAACTTTTGTCTAACTTTTCTTCGGTCCCAAAAAAGGCCAATTTAAAATTCAAAAAGTCTGAGTCAACTAATGAAAATAAAAAAGATTTGCCAAAGAAAACAACAAAATTCCTGAAATTTAAAAAAAAAAAAAAATATGACTCAATAAAATTCTACTCTGAGATTTGAAGTCTGTTCTCTATAAGTCCAACTTTATTTCTCAGCCTATGTCGCATTCCACGTATTGCTTATCTATTATAGCTTTTTAGGTATACAGATCTATATAGTCAGTATTCTCAAAAACGTGTGGCGGAGTTCCTACCATAAATGTTTTACATTTTTCAGTTGTTCGCCAAAAATGTTTATATAAACATATTATTTAATGTCACTACACTGTTAGCATTTTAATTTTTATATATCCTTCCATTCCACTACGATGACTGTAATCTTCATCAGTCAGTGGAGAGAATCCTGCTTTTTTATATTTTTTCTTGTATTTTTGATAGAATCTATAACAATGACTGCTATTTTTTTATTTATTTTTTTAACATTCAAGATGGCAAAACTGTATTTTCATTTCATCGGCTGTCTTCATAGGCTTCAGTGGCTACAGTACTTAGGAGAGCATATCTTTATTACTTTATTGTGCTTTTCTTTATTGCTTTACAATGGCACTATATTTCCAGCAGTTTGCACATTTACTGAACGATTTTGATTGATTGCATTTTTCATATAAAAAGCTGAATTTCAAAGTAATAAACATATCATAAAAGAGAATGGATGTGTTTATTTCCTGATGAAACATTTTTCCAACCCTGCTGACTTTTAACTCCAGCTAGAGCTGAGATAAACAGGTAAAAACACCTAAAGTGGTGCTATGTAAGTTGCTATATAAGTGTACATCTTACTGATGTAACTGGAAGGACATTCTTGGTTCAAATTCCAGTTGTTGATAGATCTGGATTTGTACATATAATTAGCCTGTGTTCTTCCGTGGAATGCATTTTGCAAAATTAATCTGGAATTATAAAGAATTATTTTTTAGTTTGTCATGCATTTCTTGTTATTCTTTTGAGTATCTTTGTGGATCATTATGTGGGACATTATATGTTAATTATCACTCTGAAGTGTTTAATGTTTTATTACCTTTTAAGAAACACTTTGAGTAACATGACCACTACATTGAGTGTAACAGAGAGACATGGGAAAAACAGACAAAATCTTAACAAATGGATCCATTTTGAGATAATATTTGCCTGTACTTTTTGTTTTAAAATTATTAGAGGCAAAACAGAAAAAAATATATTTTTAAATGGTAACATTTTATTAAAATTAAATAACACTTTTTATATAGCAAACACTACTGTCCAAATGGTAATGCACCAATATAGAAGTGTGATATCCTAGCGCCTAAGCAATTTTGCTATCAATAAATGATTACGTGTCTTTTTTCTGTGGTGCACTGTGCTCTACTTACAGTATACATGCATGTCCCTTCTTATTTGCAGTCAACTCCCTTGAAGCTTACAACTTCACAATGTAACAGTAAAACCTAAAAGGAAAGCTCAAATCAACGGGACCTCCAATCGTGAAAACAATCTGTAATTGCGGAGTTAAATGCAACATATATTGCACTCACCAGATCGAAGTGCAAAATAGTATTAAAAAAAATGCAACATGCTTGTGGAGTCCTTAATTTCCCTTAGGTGTCCAAACAGAGTGAGCATGTCTGCCAACTCCACTACTGAATCCCTGTATTTGTGTCCAGCAATAGACATGTCAATTAAAGAGTTTCATGGGTAAACATCCCACTTCCCCAGGATGAGGTACATATATGTCAAAAGAAACCCCAACCTATCCTTTAAAAACAATATTACTTAGATGTCCAAATAAACATGTGAGAGCTGAGCACTGTTTGAACAAGCATGACTGTGAAAGTCCTTCTTCTAAGTTACCCTTCACTATACCAAGCCAGCTAAAGAAGCAGAGGATGAGAGAGTCCATTGTGTCTAACTTATTCTCATCCAAAAAACAACAGACTGCTTTTCAATATGGTGTGGGTGCCATGCTCAGCTTTGAGGTGGGAAGCCAGGATTACCACTGTGAAGATACATGAGCCTGCTTTCTTGACACAGGCAAAATACTAAGACACATAAGAAAAATTTAAATTGTACTTAGCATGAGAGATTGACCACAGGGTTGACCTCCTCCTTGGCTGGGCCTATTTATCCGGCGATGAGTAACCCTGTATTTCCACCCGCCCTACATTGGGATTTGGCATTCTTGGGTGGAGGTTCATGCCTCACGCAACTCAGGGATGGTACAACAGTTGTTCCCAACCCAGTCCTCATGTACCCCCTAACAGTCCAGGATTTAGGGATTACCCAGTTGTGTCTAAGGTGTTTTTAGAGAAAAGGAAAACACGTTAGACTACAGCAGGCTTGCCCAAACTCCGGCCCTCCAGATGTTGCTGAACTACAACTCCCAAGATTCTCAGCCCATCTATTTAATTCATAGAATCATGGGAGTTGTAGTTCAGCAACAACAGGAGGGCCGGAGTTTGGGGAAGCCTGGACTACAGGGTAATCCCTAAATCCTGGACTCGTAGGGGGTACTTGAGGACTGTGTTGGGAAGATCTTCTCCTAGATCTTCTCCCACTATGATTCAAACTTTCAAGCTCCACCAGCTTAAACATTTCTACACTTCAATGTATTATTTGTGGTCTCTGCAAAGACCGCTCCAACCGTTTGAGTAGATTTGCTCTCAAGCGGAGCCTTTAGATCGTGACATCTCCACCCTATAACAGCTGCTTCTGTCTGCACCAACCTGCACCATTTAAGTTTAAAGTGACACTATAGTCACTAAAACAATTTTATCTTAATGAAGCAGTTTTGGTGTATGGAGCATGCCCCTGCAGTTCCACTGCTCAATTCTCTGCAATTCAGGAGTTAAATCACTTTCTTTATACAGTGCTAATCACACCTCCCTGCATGTGAAGTACAGCCTTCCTAAACACTTCTTGAAAAGTCATCTAATGTTTGCACTTCCTTTATTTCAAATTCTGTTTAATTTAGAATATATTATCTCCTACACTGTTAATAGCTTGCTAGACCCTGCAGGAGCCTCCTGTATGAAATTAAAGTTCAATTTGCAGAGCAGGACATAAAAACTTTTAAAGTCAGTCACAGCCAGGGAAAGGGTGGCTAGGGCTGCATAAAAAGTGATTTGACTCCTAAATGGCAAAGAATCTAGCAGTGAAACTTCAATGGCATGGTCTATACACAATACTGTTTCACTAAGCTAAAGTTGTTTTGGTGACTATAGTGTCCCTGTAAGGCGATGTGGTCAGTGGTGTATCCTGGTTTTGTGCTGCCCTAGGCAGGACAAAACTCAGACGCCCCCCAACCGCGCGACCCCCATCCATCCCTTCCCCCCGCCCCGCCTTCTAAATACACACACACATTCACTGACAGATACGCATAAACTAGCTAACAGAAACACACACTCACTGACACACACAGACACACACTCACTCACTAGCAGACACACACTAGCAGACACACACAGGCAAACATACACACACAGTCAGACACACACACACAAACAAACTCACTCACTCACAGACACACACACTCACTGGCAAGCACACACTCACTAACAGACACACACTAGCAGACACATACACACTCACTAACAGACACACACACACACACACACACACACACTAACAGACACACTCACTCACTAGCAGACACACACTAGCAGACACACACAGGCAAACATACACACAGTCAGACACACACAAACAAACACACACACTCACTGAAACACATCACTGGCACATCACTGGCAAGCACATACTAGCAGACACACACACTCACTGACACACACTAACAGACACACACACACTCCCTAACAGACACACACACACACACACACACACAACAGACACACACACACAGACACACACACACACACACACACACTAACCACAGACACACACACATACTAACAGACACACACACTAACAGACACACACACTAACAGACACACACACTAACAGACACACACACACACTAACAGACACACTAACAGACACACACACACACTAACAGACACACACTAACAGACACACACACACTAACAGACACACACACACACAGACACACACACACTAACAGACACACACACACACAGACACACACACACTAACAGACACACACACACACACTAACAGACACACACACACTAACAGACATACACACTCACTCACATTAACACATTTTTTATTTTTTTTTAAACCCCCCCCCCCCTCCTTACCTTTGGGAGTGCTGGGGGAGGAGATATTCTCTTTATCCTTGGGGTCCAGTGGCTGCCGGGCTGGCTGCTGGGCGGGCGGCTGGCTGGCGAGGGAGCTCTTCCTCTGAGCGGTCTGCTCAGATCCCTTGCGCACCGCAGAGTGAGGCTGGGAGCCGGAATATGACGTCATCAACCCGGCTCCCAGCCTCACTCTGCGGCTCGCAAGGGAGCTGAGCAGACCGCTCAGAGGAAGTGCTCCCTCGCAAGCCGCCTGCCTGCCCAGCCCAGCAGGTCAGTTAGCCGCAAGGCTAACAAGGCATTTGCCCTGGGCATTTGGGGGGCGTTTTTTTTTTTGGCCGTCCCCTGGAAAATGCCGCCCAAGGCGAATTCCTTGTTCTTTTCTGATCAAAAGAGGCAGAAGATTATATTGTTGACTCACCTGGGTTCTCAAAGCCTAAGATTTCAGGAGATAAAATGCAAGATTCTGATGCAATGTTCGACACCCTGCTAAAGCTGTTCCGGTTCCTTCTTAAGGTTTCTGATATTTGCTGGAAGTGCCGTGGTCCTAGGGCCTCACTCATATATATACACATATTCTGGGAATACACTGTCTTGGATCCTAAATGAAAGAAATTGCACAACACTATGGCAGGAGTGGCCGATAAAAGCGTCCGTTTACATCCCAGACATCCTTCTGAGTCACACTAAACCCTGTTTACCAAACACAAAAAGTCAACATCAAAACACCTACCAACAGTGGCACGCTCCCTAGTCTCAACTCTGTGGCAGAGACAAAATTCACCCTCATTCCAGACATAGCTTGAGAGGGTCGAGGAGATCCATGGTCACTACGGCAGCACCATTCCTGCAAAATGCATGTTCTGGGTGTGCCCCCAATTCCTTTTTGTCTTTACTATGCTGTTCTTGCAAACCTCTTGCACCCGTTTACTTTGGGCTGGATTGTCTCAGAGGCCTCTTTGCTCAATCTTGCCTGGTGTGGTGCTGAGTGCTTGTTCCTGCACTGCTAGGATTAATGCCTCAGGCCTCAGTGCTCTCTTTCAATCCTGCCTTTTCCAACCACTTCTAGGATGTTGTAATGCGAGCCACATCCACTATCTGCTGGTGGTAAACCCTATGGAGAGGTTTGTCTTGCCATGGAACCTCCTCATTTTCTGCATCCTCTATCTGTTGTTGTATCAGACATTTCCTTAGCAATTCATCTTTGGGAGCCATCTTTGAGATGCACCTGTGGATCCTCTGTGTTTCATCCAAGACTGCGGCCTTGACACTCATGAGACCCGACCTCTTTCCTTCCGACTGGTGTATTGTGCTGGATTTCAGGTGTATATTATCTGTAAGGGAAACAAGAAAATGGAAAATTATGGTGGAGTGAACAGAGTGACAAACTTGCTCTGTCTTATGTTGAAAAATAGTCTGATCTTTCTCACCCACATTTACTTTAATTGTATATTTATTTCCAATAATGAAAAAGCATTAACAGGTTATGGAGAAGTTAGGAATGTCTCTAGTTTCCCATTTTCAATTTTATGTGTAAACACGCATACTGGTTACCCTCACTTTTTAAGGAGCAAGCAATATCAGCTCTATTTGATAGTAGTGGGTTAGTAGTATCATAATCAATTTATGAAAGTGGTAAGCAACAGTAAGTTTCTTCTAAATTTTCCTCAATATTTCAATGTTAATTTTGAGATGGGACACAGACAAGAGGTGGTTAAAATCAAGTATAGCAAATATATGAAAAGTATATTAGAATCTTAATCTGTATGCTTAAAACCATTCACACAAGCACAATTACAATGCATTTCGACCCGAGTCTTCATCAAGGTGCATAACAATAAATGAGAACAATTTTCCTTAAAAACCTTACCAAAATCTCTTTTGGCTAATCTCCAATCCTATCTCTCGATTTGGCGAATATCCAATCGCATTATTCGGTTTGGAGAATCTCCAATCGTGTCCTTCAGTTTGGGTGAATAACCAATGAGGCATGATACTCGCTATGGCAAGGACATACTTACTCTATGCAATCTCAGTCAGATCACCCTGATTGGCATCTAAGCCAACCAATGAGACCTTTCTGACAGGTAAGTCTCACTTCTCTCAAGTCTGGCATGGGATGTTTGATTGGTGGGACACCAGGAAGCACCCATGTATTATATAATTAACAGCCCACACACACTGCTGAGGGCTGAGGGTCCTCTAGGTCTGTCATGTTTATTTATCTAATAGCCCCCACCAGCTGCCTATGGGTAAGGGCTGAAATGGGACACCAAACCCTCATGTGTATTTTATTGTTAGCCATTGGTGGGGCAGTGGGCTGGACAGTGGCCTGTCTACCCCCAATTATTTAATTTTCATCCCTCACACAATGCCCACTTATGGTGGGGGGGGGGAGGGCAAGGGGGGGGTGGACAACATGTTCCAGGCCACCTTTACATTTTATTCAGTTGCCACTGGTATTTGGTAATGTTGACTTCTATGTGCTTTTATTTGTTTGTTTGTTTCTAGTCATTAAAAAGGCAGATAAATGTGCTTTGATGCACATATAACAATGGTTTGATCTCGGAGTGCTGATCTGTTTATCGAGTTTGGAATTTCATCTGGCATTAGTTCCCGCTGAAATTAAAAGAGAATTAAAAACAGGCAAAAAAATTACCAAAAACAGTTGATAATTACCAACTGTTTTTTTTGTTTGTTTTTTGCCTATAGAATTAAATCGAGGCCTTAATTTGTTAAAATTCAATATTTTGTATATACCTTTCTATGAACTTTTAAACAAAGACAAAAGTGCTAGAGTTTAATTGTTGTGTTTTCTGGATCATTATTTATATATTGTGTGAGTTGCACTATTTTAAGTTCTTGAGGACCAAAGGTTTGAAAATGTTCTAAGACATATTTGAAAGTTTCTCTCCATTACCTCCTCATCGTTCATTCCTCAATTATCCATCATTAGTTGAGAGAAATACCTGTACTGGGCTACAGCTTTAATGAGCTTGTCACAAAGCAAGGCAATCTTACTGTCAGGGAGATTAATATTGTTTAAAAAATAACTCATGCCACAGGACGTGATAGACTGGTGGGTATGTTTTGTTCCTTGAAGTATTAATTGTAACAGCTAAGTGTTCTGCCTGTGGTTTTCTTTTTAAAATGTCCAACAGAATACTATAGATGCTAATGTGGTTTTGTGCAAAACATGTTATTTTACTATTCCAACTTGCTGTGCTAGCTGAGTTGTGTTAATGCACAGTTTTACAACTTTCAATCCAAGGTCTGTTCTTGCAAGGTAAAATCTTGTTCAAAATATTTGTTTTCAGTGAAATAATCTCAAATTGTCTTTTACATTTTAGCCTCGTTCTTTTAATCAAGTTGTATGCTCATTGCAAGAGAAAATTAATGACGAGACCTTGCAGCAAAGCACTGAGAAAAATATTTCTACCACAACAAGCAGCAATACCGAGACAGGTAAAATATTCTATATACTCTATGCCACCAGGCTGTCACCTTATGCCTTGCAACACTAGGCATCTGACTTGCTGTCTGCCCCTGTCGCACCTCTGATCTGAGACACAAAGAGTTTTACACACAGCTCCTGGCTTCTCACACTGTAGCGATGAATGGCGTCACTACAGAGTGGGCTATGAGGGAGCTGTTTTTGTTGAACTATTGCCAGTTGCTACTCATCACTCCCTCACACCACCACATGTGGCCCTTCTCGCAAGTAAGTGATAGGGCTATCACATTTCCTATGTGTGTGCACTACAGAAGTGCTTGCAATGCATAGTCCAGCATTTCATTAAGCTGCAATCTGAGTCAGTGATTGTGTCTGTATGACTGTGACTGTGTGTGTGTGTGTGTGTTTGTATGACTGTCCCTATGAGTGTGTATGCTTGTTTGTATGAGGGTGTGTGTATGTGTGTCTGTACCATAAGGTGTATGTGTGAGTGTGTGTATCGTATGGGTATGTGTATGTTTCTGAATGAATATGTGTCTGTATGACTGAGTATGTGTGTCTGTACGAATGTGTGAATGCATGTCTTTAGAAGTTTGTGTGTATGTGTATTTATGAATATATGCACATGTGTCTGTATAACTGTGTATCTGTATGAGTTAATGACTATGTCTTATGCCTGAGTATGTGTCTCTGTATGACTGTGTCTGTGTGAGTGTGTGCATGTTTATGTATGACTTTGTACATGTGTCTATAGGACTGTGTGTCTACAGGAATGTGTCTATATTACTGTGTATGTATGTCTGTGGGACTGTGTCTGTCTGACTGTGTGTATTGTGTTTGTATGACACTGTGGGGAATATTTAAGCTTTCTGAAAACTAAAAGTTAGATAAATCTGTTCTGCCAGAAAATGGTATATATTTAACAATTTTATTTCATTTATTTAAATTTGATTTATTTAAATTTTAGCTAGAATGCAAACCATACAAAATCATCCTCGCACACAGTCACCATACACAATCAAACTTTTTTATCCACAGCATACAGATCACACTCCTCCATCCCCACACACTCACTAAACTCAGCGAAACGGACGCACAATTCATACATACCCCACATTGCTGTGAGTTTTCTTAACATGCTCGACTAATTAAAAAATGTTAGGTAGAATTAGGCAACCTTTGGAAGTCTAAGTTCCTTGGAAAGCTCACTGTGTGCAAATTGGACTGAGCTTTTGTCTAAAATAACCTGGACCTATGCCACCATATGCCACTAATCCCTGATATGTGTCCTTTATAAAGTTTAAATCTGTATGGCCAGATTGCTTTAGTTGGGACTGATGACACCATTATATGACATATTAATTTTTAGTACAGCACAGTTGAAAGAGGGTGCAGAACAGATAGATCAGTGCCACTGTGAGCATAAATCTGTGTATAATTTAAACTAGTAACCAGATATTGCGCACCTGGATCTCTCCCTTCACCAATTCCTTAGACTATGTCAGAGGAAGGCAACCTTTGGCACACCAGTTATCCTGGACTAAACCCCCTCTAACTCTCTTACAGCCATAATGATGGCAAAGCTACAGGGGAGATCTAGTCCTCAACATCTAGAGTGCTGAAGGTTGACTACCTCTCATCTATGTAATGGGAAGGGGATGGGAATACCAAAAGTGGTAAGAGTCACTCAAAAATTTATACACAAGGTTATCTCCATATTGCTATGCCCCTGACATAAGTAATTGGATGATATATATTGTCACAACTGGCTAGAGGAAGACTTGAAGTTGAAACATTGCATTGTGCAAGGCTGAGCGGTGAGAGGAGCATCGATATTGGATTCCTATATTTCTACCTATCTAGCAATTGACTGTTTTTTTTTTTTTACATCTATGTGTCTGTTCACCCTCCTGGCTCCTCCTTCCACCTCATTCTACACTGTCGACTGCTGCAGAGAAGAGCCTGTGGGCTAGTCAGAGAGATCGTTTATCTCCCCACTGGTCCGTGAAGACACACAGCAAAGATGGCAGAGTAGATCAAAGGCCGCTTGTGGAATTTTACGCGGCCCGTCTGTGGGTTTTGTCAGAACCCACAGTCGGGCAACATAAAATTCCACTGTGGGCTGCATGAAACCTGCGGGCCGTGCATTGGACAGCCCTGATCTAAACACTAAAACTGGTTCAATAAACTCTTGTGTTTTGGTGCTCAGAGTATCCCTTTAAAAAAATAATCTTTCAATTCAAGAAAGTGTGGGGATGAAGACTTCTCTCCCATTCTATTGGAACAAAGGAGTGACAAATACACTTTTATTTTCAATTAGCAAAATTTAAATAAATCAAATTTAAATAAATGAAATAAATCACCTTGTTTCCTGTGAAACCTCCAGCAGTCAAATCACGTACCTCACATATTATTACTTCAAGCTCCAGTCAATCATTAAATATTATCTCTAAGCTCACACGGTCTGAATTAGAAAGTGTTTGAAGATTAGAAAGACTTTTATAGTAATGTTATTCTGGTGGAAGAGGTGCAGCACCATTAAATAATTTCATGAGGTTCTTTTGAAGAAACGGATGTTTGTTTGGAAAGAGATTTACAAAGAGAAATCAAACTCCATCTGTGCACCGTGTAACAAACAAAACTAGGAGGGCTGAATACATTAAAATGCCAAATATGTTTTAATTGCAAAGTTTGCATAAAATATCAACAGATAAAATATTTATATATAAAAAAGAGAGAACAATGCTTCAGATATATTTTTAATTTTCACATAGAGGGGAAAAAAAACCTAAAGTTTTGGTACATCTAGGGGAACCACGTAATTTAATCTTGTCTTAACTGTCACAGAAATTAAGAAACTACAGAACAAACAGAACAATGCAATGACATTGAAAAAAAGAAAATTAAGTTGAATTATTTGTGCAACAGCAGAGGGCTTTCTATTAAATTAAAGGCCAAAGCCAGATCCACTTAATGTAATGTAAATTGAGTTTTCAGTTTTTGAAGCTTCGGCTGGGAAGTAGTATACATTTGAATTTTACAAGCATTTTAATTGTTGAATTGTATTGGCCATCCCCTCTATGATAACTTTTGACTCCTACATTGTGGAAAAAATTGCTCAAAAAGAAGTATACTGCAAAGCAGGGAGAGGTTTAGAACGCCATAAAGTATCTTATGTAATATAAAGGGGACAGTGCAATGCATTGAAATACAGTAGAAGAAAATGTACATGAAACAATACGAACATGCCAGGCTGTATTGTGAAAATAAATGAAAGGAACTCTTCAAGCACCATAACCACTACAGCCCACAGTTAAGGGACTCTGAAATCACCAAAATTGCAATATCTTGATGTAGTTGTTTTGGTGCTGTCGCTTTTGTTGGATAACAAGTTTTTTTTCTGCTGATGCGTGACACTAAATTTTCAGTAGCTTAGCTTACTAATTTTGGCCTCAATTTAGTATTTTTGTATATTTTTGCAAATAATTAAAGATTTAGAAAAATATATATATTTTTTTTATTGGCACATAAGTATGACAGTATACAATACAAGATATTGGCGGTACAATATTGCGATTACAAAAGTTTGAACAGGTCGAGGGAGCCAACGTTTACAAGATAGAATTACATAACATCACTAATACTTAAGCTCAGTCTGGTTCGTCAGCCCCTCACCTAATGCAAGATTAGATGAGGTTGTTCCTACTTGTGCCCATTTTGAATTTTTTTTTTCTTTTTTGTAAAACTGGGTGGAGGGGTACCGGGGGGGGGTGGGGGAAGGAAAAAAACATCGTAATCTATGGTGATGAGTTTATACATTTAAGTGCGTACAGCGAAATGTAATTAAAAGGATCCCAGATCTGCCTCTATCCAGAGGTGTCTACACTTCTAAATTTTTAACCAGTGACATCGGTTGCAGTTTTACTGCAGTTTTCTACCTTGCTGTGGGCTGTATTCCATGATTGCCAGGCGGTCTTCCAGAGATGTGCCTGGGGGTCAGCTTTCCTGGCCATATTTTCGTATTTTTTGGTGGTTTCGATGGCCTGGGTACAGGAGGCCAGAGTCTGGGGGTGAGTCGATAACCAGTTTTTACTGATAGCCTGTAGGGCTGCTATGAGTATGTGATACATCAAATACTGTGCAGATTTAGGTATACCTGATGGGAGAAGTTGTAGTAAGTATTTCTCCGGTTGCAGAGGTAAATCGATTTGCGTGGTGTCCCTTATTAGGTTCAAGATTTGTATCCAGAAAGGTATAATCTTTGCGCACGTCCACCATATATGATACACCGTGCCGGGACAGGCCAGGCATCTCCAACATATTTCCGACTTGTGGGGGTTAAAACGGTGTAATCTGGTGGGGACTAGATACCATCGATACAATACCTTCCTGGATATTTCAATGTGTGTTGTGCATAGAGTTAGTTTTCTGTTTGCATTGAATACTTTGGACCATTGTTGCTCGTCTAGCTCCCGTTGGAAGTCTGACTCCCATGCGAGAATGAATTTTGGCTTCACTGAATTTAACTTGTGGATTATGTCATGGTATAGAAGGGACATGGGTTTGGTCGGTGGCTTTTTCTGTGTGCATAGTGCCTCAAGGATAGACCATTTTCTTTCTTGTTGTGGCGGTTCTGGTGGTGCTAGTGGGAGTCTTTGTTTACTTAACCATGATTGTATTTGCAAATAGCTAAAGCAGAGCGAGTTTGGTATGTTATGCGATATCTGTAGTTGTTTAAAAGGGCAGAGTCTGTCATTGGACATTATCTGATATAGGAAGGTTAAACCATACGAAACCCATTCCGCAGTATTAAATTGTGCTATGAGTGCTGCAAGGGCCTTGAGCAGCATGGCAGGTGAGGGATGTGGTGAGGGCCACGTCCTATTTCTGTGTTTATCCCACACCAAGAGAGATAATTTGGTGGTTGGCAGCATGTTTTTATATTTTGGTTGAAGATGCCTCGGCATCCAGGCCAAGGTGGGTATGTCAAATCCGTCAGTGTGGGCACCTTCTATTTGTAACCACATTGGTGGGTGGTCCTAGTAAAAGGCCGTTATAAGGGGACTAAGAAGCGAGGCTGAGTAGTACGTATCGAGATGCGGCATGCCCATACCTCCCTGCCGGAATGGCTTGTACAATGCTAATGTTATTATTCTAGGTTTCTTATTGTTCCATATAAATTTGTTAAGTATGCCTTGCACTTCCTGTATGTAGGCTTGAGGGAGTTTAATTGGTAAATTGCGGAAGAGATATTGGAGTTTAGGGAGGAGGATCATTTTGGCTGCCGCAATGCGGCCGGTCCAGGAGATATGTTTATCCCGCCATCCCCAAATTTAATTTTTCAATGCTTGTGCTAACTTAACGTAATTGGCCCGAAATAGTGAGGATGAAGTGGCTGTGAAGGACACTCCCAGGAATGTTAGGTGATCTGTCTGCCAGTCATACGTGTAAGCTTGCTTCAAACTATGTAGAGGTTTATGGGGTATATGCATACCCATCGCCTGCGTTTTCATAATATTTAATTTGTAATATGAGCAGGCACTATACTTGGCAAGGAAGTCATGCAAGTGCAGTAAGCTTACATCTGGGTGTTCTAGGGAGAGCATGATGTCATCCGCAAAGATCGTAAGTTTGTGCTCTGTGTTGCCCACGCGTATCCCCTTAATGTCTGTGTTTGCACGAATGTGTTGTGCCAGAGGTTCAAGAACTAGAATATATAACATAAGGGACAGCGGGCAACCCTGGCGTGAGCCATTTGTGATGGTGAAGGATGAGGATGTAAAGCCACTGTTTACCACTCGGGTGGAGGGGGTTGAGTAGAGGGCCGAAACCAAGGACAGGAAACTTGGAGGGAAACCAAAACACCGCAGCGCTGCCCCGATGAACCCCCAGTGCACCCTGTCAAAAGCTTTTTCAGCGTTGAGTGAGAGGAATACACTGGGTCTACCCGAGGACCGCGCCACAGCCATCAGGTTCAGTAACTTCCTAGTGCCATCCGAGCCCTGTCTCCCTTTTACGAATCCTAATTGATCCCTATGGATCACCGCTGGTAGTTGAGAGTCTGTTGGCATAAATTTTTGCTAGTAACTTTGTATCAGTATTTAACAAGGAGATTGGCCTGAGATTGGAAGGTTTGTTGGGTGACTTCCCGGGCTTGGGCAGAGTCGCTACGTGGGCTTCTAGCATTTTGGGAGGCATGTAGCCGGTGGTGACAATGTTGTTATATACCTTCCCCATGTGGGGAACTAGGATATGTCGAAAGCTTTTATAATACATATTGGTGAAACCATCAGGGCCAGGGGATTTCCCCTGCGGGAGGGCTCAGATGGTAGTTTCTATTTCCAGATCATTGATTGGGTGTTGAAGAATTTCGCAGTGTTCCGGTGACAGTTTGGGCAGTTTTGCTTGGGTCAAGAACTGTTGTATTTCGAGGGCAGTGGGTTGGTGGGTTTTATCATTCGTTAAATTATAAAGTTTGGAGTAAAACTCTGCCATAGTATCGTTTATGTGTTGTGGATTAGTGAGTTTGGCTCCTGCAGAAGAGAACAGATATGGTATCTTGGATTGGGCCGATTTTTGCCTGAGGAGATTCGCTAGGGCCTTCCCTGCTTTATTCCCCTGGGAGTACTGTTTCATTTTTAAGATATTAAGCATACGTGTAGTTTTTTGTAGGAGTAGATCATTGATTGCAGTAGTGGTTTGAGATATACGTGCCTGTCCCTCTGCTGAAGGGGAGAGGAGATGGGCTGTCGTCTGATCTCTAAGCGTCTTGAGCAGAGATATGTATTGTTGTTTCGCCTGACGTTTAATATAGGCTGCACGATTAATAAGAAGCCCTCTAATCACTGCCTTATGTGCCAACCAGACATTGTGAGGTGGCATTTGGGGTGTACAGTTGGCTTCAAAGTAGCGTGTAATGTCCCCTGTTAGTGCCTCTCAAAAGGATTTGTCTTGTAGGAGCATATCATTTAGCCTCCAAGGCGCCGTCCCACGAGAGTGGAATTTATCGTGTAGGGTGAGAGTTACTGGGGCGTGGTCTGACCACGTTATGTCGCCTATGCGGCATTGTTTTATGGAAGTTAAGAACTTTGCATTAAGGAGGATATAGTCAATGCAGGAGTTTGTTTTATGGGTTTGTGAGAAGTGTGTGTATTCTCTGTTGGTTGGGCTAACCACCCGCCAGGAGTCATAGAGATCAAACTCCAGTAGTAATTTCGTGAGCGCTCTGCATCAGGGTTGCAGGACAGCATGCCTGCCTATGTCAGCTGGAGTTGTTGTATCCAAGGTCGGGTCAATGATATGGTTTAAATCGCCACACAGGATCAAGTGCGGTAGTTGCGGATGGGGGATTTTGGCGAGGACATGGTGTAGGAAGTTCCTTTGGTTGGTATTGGGACTATAGATCGATACTAACGTGTACGTAAGATCATTGATTGTGCAGTGTAATATGATGTATCTTCCTTGAGTATCTTTTTTGAGTTGTAGTAGTTCAAAGGAGAGTGAGCGGTGAATCAATATGGAGACCCCCTTAGATTTGGACGAGTGCGTGGAATGGTATTGTGTGGGGTATTCTTTTTGAGCGAAACTGGGAATTTTAGTATGGGTAAAATGTGTTTCTTGAACACATAGGATGTCAATTTGTTCCTTCTTGGCAGCTTCCAGTAACAAGCAGCGTTTATGAGGGGTATTCAATCCCCGTACATTAAATGTTTGTATCTTCAGGGTGAGTTGGCATTGGTTCAGCTGGTGAGACTGGGCAGGTGTTGGCATGTTGCACTTGTGTGAATATGCAGACTACGACAAAGGGACTAGAACTTGGAGGAAGGAGAAAGGGGAAGAAGGACATTAGGGTATGTACACTTTCCCCAACGCGGGGGAATGGTGCAGCTATTTGCACCTTGGGGTTCGGAAACGGAATGTCTCCTACGGCGTGGCGTATGGGCTAACAATTGGGTTATTGTGAATGGACAGAACAAAACTTTTTTTTTTTTTGCACCTAGGGAGCCACCCTTAAGTGATAAGTGTAAGGGAATGCACGACAAGGTTTCCCTTGCCTTGTGAGTTTTTTTTTCTCTTTCTTTCTTTCTTTCTTTCTTTCTTTCTTTCTTAGGTCTTAGGTCCACAGCCTATGGGGTGTTTGGGGAAATACTTCACCACCCGTCCTGTAACAGGAGGTTCCACCGGGGGTCCCGGTAGATGGTTATCATTCATTTTTTTTTATTTGTTTATTTATTTATTATTGTTTAACCTGTCCACAGGGGCAGAGGCAGAAGACAAAAGACGAAAGGGGGGGTGAAGGCAGCAGGGGAAGGCGACACGGAGGGGCGAGCACACCAGATCAGGAGCCAGCCTAGTGGATCGGCCCGCGCGGCGCGCACCCCCCCCTCAGCCACCCCACGACCCGGGAGGGGAAGGGGAGGAAAGATGGGGCCAAAAAGGGGAGGGGGGAGCAGGGGAAGAAGGGGGTGGCGCAAGAGAGGGGGGGACGAGGGGACTCCAACCCCATCATCAACATAAAACAAAAGAACTCAATGAATGGAAACATGGGCAGGAGCCACCGCTGGCTCGATCCCGGCTGGCCGCAAATAAAGCGGGCGTTTTAAATCTTAGATTCAGTGACTGAAACCCAGCTAGTCCGTGCCCTACACAGGCGGGAGGCATAGAGTCATCCCCCGTCCAACAGGACAGCCTGACCAGCCAACCCCCCCAGCCCGCCCGGGCCCACAACCAGCCTCACATCCCACATCCCGCTGCGTTTCCACGACTTAGACCCATCTCTACAGGCGCTCACATTGTCGCCTCCCGTGGTGCGCGCCAGTCCAAGGTATAATGAAAACAAAGTCTATACAGATAGGCACAGCAATTAGTCATGAAGGAGGGCTTGCCGCCGGTGGCCCAAGGGGAGAGGTTCCCATTAGTCAAGCCCCTGTGCCCCCCCGAGGGCTCCGCCGGGGCCGAGCTGTCCGACAATAATGGTGACCCCTGGGCATACATGCGAGCATGTTGTCCCCAATCCTCAGGCTTAGGGATAGAGCAGAAGGAAATCAGACCCATAAATTTTAATGTTCAGTCAGTAGTGTTAGGGGTAAAATTGGTACTTGCGTGGCTCCCATGTGGCATGATGCTCCATTAGCGGCGACTCGTCGGCGTAGACCACTCCAAGTGAAGCTTGACTACAGGTGGCACGCGGTGGGTTCTATGCGGAGATCAATACCCCATGCGGTCAGCTTACGTATGCCTTCCTCTACGGATAAAATTTTCCTGATGGCGCCATCTCTAGCAACTAGCAACTTTGTGGGGAAACCCCAGCGGTAGCGTAGCCCGTTGTTGCGGAGAGCATTAATGATAGGAGCAAATTATTTTTTTCTCCGGAGAGTTGTAGCAGAGAGGTCAGGAAATATTTGGATGTTATTATAGCCCTCGGGTGGCTGCGCTCTGTTCCTGCTGGCGGCGAGGATGTGCTCCTTGACATGGAAGTAGTGCGCCCTTAAAAGGACATCCCTCGGTGAGGAGTCTGGGATTTGCCGTGGACGGGGCACTCTATGAATCCTGTCAAGAAGCAAAATATCGGTAGGTATATCTGGGGCAAAGGCCTTGAGGAGACCTCTTGCGTACCCCTGGAGGTCGGCAGGGAGAACTGACTCGGGCACCCCCCGCAGCCGCAGGTTGTTTCGCCTGGATCTGTCCTCCAGGTCTGCCAATTTTGTTTCTGTTCTCAACAGTCGGTCTTCAAGTTGCTCCACGTGGGTTGCTAAGTCATTGTGGGCGATGGCTACCTCGTCCATTTTGGCCTCCATGTGGGACGTCCGTTTCCCAATTTCTTGGATGTCTTTGCGCAGGGAGTCAACCGAGTGCTGCCAGGAGCTAATTAGTTTAGTGGATAAAGCATCCAGCGCCTGGGTTAAAAGCCCCGCAGTTAGAAGCGTTGCTGTGTCTGATGGCTGTGTCATGTCGTTCCTCGGGCTGCCATTGCCATCTTGGGTCGCGGCCTGCATGTCCAGCTGCAGTGGAGGCGGTTTCGGCTGGAAGAAGGTAAGTTTTTCAGTCCGCGCCGTGCCCTTCTTCCCTTTGTGTTGACATAGTATAGTAGATGGTATCGGTCTCGTTCTGTGTGTCTGGATGAACGCGGATTGTTTGCCCCGTGGCCCGAGCTCTGGATTAAGCGTCCATTTCGCTCGGCGTCTAGCCACGCCCCCTAGAAAAATATTTTCATATTTTGAAATATTAGCTTTTGTTATATATGATATATTTTTTTCTATGTTAATATGCTGAAAAAACATTTTTACAAGCTTATCAAAAATATGAAATCATTTCGGGGCTGGGCCGGATTGCCATGCTAACCGGTCACATGCAAGAGAGGCTCTGGAGAAATCTGGCCTCTTGGGCTACACTCAGAAGATTTTGACTTAAAACAAACCCATGAGAAACCCACACTGCTGCGGCAGAGGTAGCAGACCCTGAGATCGGGAGTTTCGGACCCCCTGGAGGAAGTACGAGGCTTTGGGGGCTGCAGCTTACTCAGGAGAGGAGCGAGGTGGACGGTCGCCACCATGCATCCCTTTTCGGGCTGCCACACACTGACATCCTGAGTCGCTTGATGGCCCTGTTCGGGCCGGGGGGTCATCCCGTTCCCCACCGGGGAGACTTCAAGCTATGGGGAGCCTAACACATGAGGCCTACCTTGTAAAATGGCGGTGACTCAAGGCACCTCACCATAAGAACACAGGTCCCGCCACCGACCCCGGCAGAGACCCTCACAGCGGGTCCGACCACAAAAGACGAAGAGGAGCTGAGAGCAACCTACCCGGCACGAATCCCAAATCTCGAATACTGCATCAATAAGCTGGCCCTCGTGGCGCACCCAAGATGGCAGCTGACTACTTACCCAATACTCAAACCTTGCATCCCAGCAGTAGGCGCCTTTAGGTCACTGCCACAGATTCCCTACAATGCCTTGAAGAAAATGTCCTGCGATGCTGGGAGAAACTACATCAGCGTGCACTTGCCGGCAGGATTCAAAGCATAACATCGGCGCTGCTAGCTCCTGCCTTACCTCAGCAACCGGTGCATATTCCTGACGCAGCAGAGTGTTCAGCGCTGCAGAGGGGACCGCTACCAAAACGGAGGCCCCAGCAAACAGTAGGCACTATTCCTCCCCCTCGACGACCTCAGAATCCCCGGAGGCTCCACTTCAAGCTACACCATGGAAGTTCCCGCAGTGACCCATGCCGCAAGACACAGCAGCGCAGAACCTACTCGATCCATAATCTTCTCTATCCGGCATTTAAATATGCCGGGCGGCGTTCTTTCTGTGCAATTGCACATGCGCGCGGGCGCCGGCGTGATGACATACCATTCGCCGGCGTCCGACGTGCATGTGCGTTCCACCGTGGAACGCATGCAAAAAACTTTATTAATCTAAGCAACACTAACAACACTGGAACTTGTCAACAACGAAACCAGTGTGTTCCGATGCTATTATATGTTGAATGCATATATAGAGAAGATTCAAAAATAACATATGATGTGAATGTATATAACATAAATATAAAAATGAATATATACAACAATGGATAAAATTAAAAAGAAGAGATATATATATATATATATATGTATATATGTGCTTGTATGCATGTAAAAATAATATGTGAATCCAACATATTACATTAAATCAAGATAATTTCAATTCATATATATGTAACAGTAATAATAATGATATATAGATATTTTAAACTAACATAGTTCAGGCAAACCATTATTTTAGACAGAGCATAATTTTAAACAGGACATAATTTTGAACAGAGCCTAATTTTACAAGGGCATGATTATAAAAATACATAATGATAAAAACATCATCATAAAATACCATAGTTTTAAACAGTTTAGAATTGTTTTAAACTAATATGGCTCTCCAAAGCAACAAAATTCTGTTGAGAATATTAAAAATACTAAAAAGTATTCAAATTGAAAAATAACTCAATTGGGGACGAATATACAATAAAGAGAAAAAAAAAAGGAATAAAAAAGAGAGGAAACAAGTTAATAATTCTCCAATCGATCATATAATCAATATAAAATATAAAATATATATAATCAAATATAGACCATGTGCCATTAAAATCAGAATAAGTGTAAAAACATGTCATCTTGGTGGAATTAGTCCATAAACACTAAAATATCCAGATCTGTATTAAGACCGTCTGGAACAGAAGTTTTTAATTTATAAATCCATTCTGTTTCTTTCATAGCCAGACGTTTTTCTATATCTCCCCCTCTCCAATGGGGGCTGACCCGGTCAATACCGATACAGCAAAAATTTTCTATTTTAAAATCTTTACAGTTATTACAGTGTCTTGGTACACTATGTTTTTGGTACACACAGTGTCTTAGTACACTATACTAATACAGCCTTCATAACGAAATATAATAACAAGGCACACCAAATTGAAAAAATAATCATGAAATACTGGCCTATTTTAAACCAAGATGAATTTTTAAAAAATGTTTTACCTAAAAAGCCTCGGATAATATATAAAAAACCTGAGAGTTTAAAATCTATTTTAGCTCCTAGTGTTCTACCAGGGATTAAGAGCAATAGTGAATTAGATAACTCTAAAAGGAATTTTTTGAGAGAAAAACCAAAAGGATTTTATAAGTGCGGCAGATGCAGCACTTGTAAATACCAATCGTATAAAACACTTGATTTTAAGAGCACCATTACAGGGGAGTCTTTTATTATTAAACATTTTATAAATTGTCAAAGTAAACATGGGCATAAGGCTATCCTAACTATAATAAGACTAGGGACTAATGAAAGTATTTAGAAAATTGGGCAGACTAGATGGGCCGAATGGTTCTTATCTGCCGTCACATTCTATGTTTCTATGTTTCTATGTTATCTATCTGCTACAGTGTAAATGTGGCATACAATATATAGGCCGCACAATAAGAACATTGCACATAAGATTGTTGGAACATTTTGGTGGAATTAGAAGAAAAAGTATAAAACATAGTGTACCAAGACACTGTAATAACTGTAAAGATTTTAAAATAGAAATTTTTTGCTGTATCGGTATTGACCGGGTCAGCCACCATTGGAGAGGGGGAGACATAGAAAATCGTCTGGCTATGAAAGAAACAGAATGGATTTATAAATTAAAAACTTCTGTTCCAGACGGTCTTAATACAGATCTGGATATTTTAGTGTTTATGGACTAATTCCACCAAGATGACATGTTTTTACACTTATTCTGATTTTAATGGCACATTGGTCTATATTTGATTATATATATTTTATATTTTATATTGATTATATGATTGATTGGAGAATTATTAACTTGTTTCCTCTCTTTTTTATTCCTTTTTTTTTTCTCTTTATTGTATATTCGTCCCCAATTGAGTTATTTTTCAATTTGAATACTTTTTAGTATTTTTAATATTCTCAACAGAATTTTGTTGCTTTGGAGAGCCATATTAGTTTAAAACAATTCTAAACTGTTTAAAACTATGGTATTTTATGATGATGTTTTTATCATTATGTATTTTTATAATCATGCCCTTGTAAAATTAGGCTCTGTTCAAAATTATGTCCTGTTTAAAATTATGCTCTGTCTAAAATAATGGTTTGCCTGAACTATGTTAGTTTAAAATATCTATATATCATTATTATTACTGTTGCATATATATGAATTGAAATTATCTTGATTTAATGTAATATGTTGGATTCACATATTATTTTTACATGCATACAAGCACATATATACATATATATATATATATCTCTTCTTTTTCATTTTATCCATTGTTGTATATATTCATTTTTATATTTATGTTATATACATTCACATCATATGTTATTTTTGAATCTTCTCTATATATGCATTCAACATATAATAGCATCGGAACACACTGGTTTCGTTCTTGACAAGTTCCAGTTTTGTTAGTGTTGCTTAGATTAATAAAGTTTTTTGCATGCGTTCCACGGTGGAACGCACATGCACGTCGGACGCCGGCGAATGGTATGTCATCACGCCGGCGCCCGCGCGCATGCGCAATTGCACAGAAAGAACGCCGCCCGGCATATTTAAATGCCGGTTAGAGAAGATTATGGATCGCTCCTGAGGAAGTCTGATTAAGAACAGACGAAACGCGTTGAGCAAACCCGGGAATTGGATCAGCTGATGGTGAACTGTTTCATCTGTCTTTGCTACAGCCTCTACACAGACGCCCACAGACTGCTAAGACCGGGAGATTTAGCCTATTATAGGCATCAGCACTTTAGCACATATTGATTTTATCAATTGTGCCACACTGTTTGTGAGTGTTTTTATTTATATGTTTTTTATCATTTTGGATTAAAAGTTTGCACTATGATGTTTTCTCTTTTTATATCTTTTATGTGAATATCCTCATCTGCTCGTTGGAGGGTAACTATATTCAGTATGTATATCTGGTGATAAGTGGCGCCCTATTTCTGTATAGTATATACAGCTCTGTTTTTTTTGCACATTTGGTTAAGGGATACAGGGAGTGCATCCCCATATATAGTGGCTTGCCTGCACTTCCTAAACGGTCAGTTCTTTTCACCATCCACTCTCTGTTTTAAGTATTTCAAATACACTTTGAATTCCCAACAATTCCCACTTTAGTAAATATATAGTTATTGTTGGGGATATAATCCTAAACTACGCTCATTTCCCATCAGATACAATGTTCCAATTTTTAATTTAGTGTTTCAATCCAAGTCGAACTGTTATTGTGGGTTATCAGGTTATTAAGAGGTAACTGTAGTGGTAATATAGAAACATAGAAACATAGAATGTGACGGCAGATAAGAACCATTCGGCCCATCTAGTCTGCCCAATTTTCTTAATACTTTCATTAGTCCCTGGCCTTATCTTATAGCCTTGTGCCTATCCCACGCATGCTTAAACTCCTTTACTGTGTTAACCTCTACCACTTCAGCTGAAAGGCTATTCCATGCATCCACTACCCTCTCAGTAAAGTAATACATCCGGATATTATTTTTAAACCTTTTCCCCTCTAATACAGAAACATCGACATGCCCAAAGCTTTGATATAGGATTACAGTCACACAAAAAGGCAGACAGTCAGGTACAGTTACAGTCAGACACAGTTACACAGGCAGACGGTCACACACAGAGTACAGTCTCACACACACACACAGGCAGACAGTCAGACACTGTTACAGACAGTCACACACAGTGTACAGTCTCACACACACACAGGCAGACAGTCAGACACTGTTACAGACAGTCACACACAGAGTACAGTCTCACACACAAACACACACACACACACACACACAGGCAGACACACACAGACAGTCACACACAGAGTACAGTCACACACGCAGACAGTCACACACAGAGTACAGTCACACACACACTCAGGCAGACAGTCAGACACTGTTACAGTCACACACAGAGTACAGTCACACACACACACACAGGCAGGCAGTCACACACAGAGTAGTCACACACACACACACACAAACAGGCAGACAGTCACACACACAATTACCTGTTTCCTTTATGGCTGGAAGGGAGGAGTACCTGGAGCTTCAGTGCCTTTTAGCCCCGCCTCATCCATGCGGTAAGCCCCACCCCTGTTTGGTAAGCTCCACCCCCTTTACTTTCTTTGTTCCCGGTGGAAAATAATGAATCCTCCACCCGGGGACTTGCTTTAGCTCCCTCTGCACTCACCTGGCCATGTGCGAGCTGTGTCTGCCACATGGTGCCCCCTGCTCCATGGCGCCCTGCATGCCCCGAAGGCTGGCACTGGATCTACAGAACAATGACGGTCCTCTTTTAGGTAAAATGTAGAGTCATAGTGGTTTAGTTATATCATTAAATGTCACAATGTTATTATCTTATTTGAATACATTTGCATGGTGACAGCTGTTGGAACAATCAGTTGTTTTAGTCCAAGTCTGTTCCAACCAGCATACTTGATGCCAGAGACTGCTGCTCCTGTATCTACTTCCATTGTGAGAGATTTACCATGTGTGTATATATATATATATATATATATATATATATATATATACACACCGTTGCTTGCAGTTCTACATTGTTTTTAGACTATAGCTTCGTAATTTGTGTAATACAGGGCCAGATTTACATAGGGGCTGATGGAGCTGCAGTTCCAGGCCCATACCTATGGAAAAGGCCCATTGATTTACTACTCTTCACACGCTCTTGCTTAAGTATGGAAACTTAAGAGGGATGTAGGGGAACAAAACTGGTGTGGCCTGGCTGACATGAAATTAGCTAAGGTAAGGCTGACTTTGGGCACTATGCAAATGCTGTTACTGCTTCAATCTCTCTAACACTGTGGCATGTTCCCTTTCTTCTATACTCACTACATACAATTTTTCTCTGTCCCAGACTGTATAACAGGAGTTTCTGCCTGCTGGTAAGAAGGTTAGGAGAGTAGTGGACGAGCTAGGGGACAGTCCTTAGAAATCACTAGACACATGTATGCCACGCTCAGGGTTCTGTCTGCATACTATGCCCTTTGTTGGTCATCCTGCATGATTGGCAGGCAGCCTGACGGGCATTCACGCCAGGCTGACCATTTAATTATTTGTGCAGACAAAGGTCGTTTTTGGACAGGTCTGGTTACGGGATTCATATCAGTGGCCCACCCTTTTACCCCGCCCACCAAAATCCTGCTTTACCAGATGCTACTGTTAGGAGGTATGGATTTACGTGAAAAATGAAAGCGAGAGATTAGAATAGGGTATATGTTTTCTGATAGCTATATACTTTGAGTTTCCCTCCAGCACCACCTCCACCAAATACATGACACTTTAGAGGTAAAACTGTATTAGAGTTTTCTGTCGATAAGATTCTGTAATGGGGCTGGACCGCCATGCTGGCTAGTCACATGGAAGACAAGCTCCCAGAACTTTTACACTTTTTGACCTAATAAAACAGAAAAATCTCACACTTTCTCTGCCCTTTGAGGGGAGATTTACAACCTCCTTGACAGAGGCCTACTCAGGTGGTGAGTGGGGTGGATGGCCGCCGTCCTGCTATCCTGCCTGTTTACAGCAAGCTGGACCCATCGCTCCAGTGGCGACAGGCCTGTTCCCCACCCTTTGGACCAGTGGGGGTCCTCCCGGTTCATCCTTTGCAGGCTCCCTTATACCGCTCAGGGCATGCAGCATTCTGGCTGAACATATCACTCAATCCAGCAAGCATAAGATGGTGGTTGCCGCGTGCTCCCCCACCTTCTTTGAGGAGACAGGCGATGTTTTACATCTCCCGAGAGACCACTTCGGGTCCTTCTGGGCACAGCTGTGGAGGAGCCTGAGACTCCCATATCGGAAGACTCTAGGCATTCCAGACAGGTGGCCATACATCTAGAACTCAGCACCTCTCTAGCATGGACCCGACTGATGCATGGACAGCAACTAAAATCTGTGGTGGGGCGAGTGACACACCTGAAAGGACTGACTCCTGTTACGCACTGGGCTATGAAACTCCCAAGGGACTTACCCGACTGCCGTACGATGTTCCCACACCTCTACTCGAGCGGGCATCTGGGCCTACTGCCAGGATTCTGGCGGAGTGTCTACACACAGCCACGGCAGGGCATGGGCTGATCTCACAATGGAGTCCAAGAACACCTACACTGACACCATGTCTTGGAGCAGTGTATACTGATGTCACATAACATCTCTTGTTCATATCTCCCACTGGCTTTAGTCTCTGTTCTACCTGCTATTACAATTACCTTATGTTAATTAATTTGATTTGATTCACTTTGCTTTATTCTTTACTAACAAAAAAAAATTAAAATGTGCAGTTATGCTGGCTAGCAAGCACCATGGTAATTTTACCTTAAAATGTCTTCATGTAATGCCATGCCGATGCTATTTTGTTTTAACAATGCACAACAAAAATAAAGAATAAAAAAAAAAAAAGGCTAATTATCAAGATTAGATCTCCATAGGCAATACTGTTCAAATGTGAAAATGTCTCTTTTTGTGACACTGCATAAACAGTAAACTTTCACTTGTATATTAAAAAAGAAAAATGATTCTGTAATTAGACTCATCATCATTGTCAGCACCAGCCCCAATTGGATCTTTATCTCGCCCTGGTGTAATGGTCCTTTTTTTAACAGAAATATGTTTGTGGGTTATCCACTTTAACATGAAAGTTGAACATGACTTGTCTTTCTTTTCTTTCTTTCTGTGGAACTTCTGTATACTCTTTTTGTATGATCAATCTTCACAGAGCCACAGCAGTATCTATTTTTTAACGTACAGGTATTTGCCATGAGGCTTTTGTCACCACATCTATTAATAGGTTGGGTAAGCTCGGGGTTTAGCTGATAAATTTTCCTTTGTCATTTAAAAAAAAAAAAAATTATTATTCTTTTTGCACATTTTATATGGAGGACGTCACAGACAAGAACACTGTTCAAAAACGTATAAGGTTAGTCATGTACATCGCTTGTCAGAAGAGAGATACATGAACTGTTGAATATACATCACACACATATAACACATAACACATATAACAAATTTTAAAAGACTGAGTGGATTGAGTGGGCCTATTCTGAGATTACTTCATATCTTTTTAGGTTACATAACCATAGGGGGGACTTGAATAATATTTCTACATGTGGATTATCATAACAGAGAACGGGTCTAGATTTTTTGGGTTAGAGTTATATCAGGTTGTCTAACCAAGGTAACCGTTTTTTTAAATCAAATTTTAAATGGTTATCATATTGAAAAGATATATCTCTTTCCATATCATATTGGTATTTTAGCACCCGAGTCCAAGATGGAATTTTTTTCTGTTGCCAATATCTTAAGATTTCTATTTTTATGGCCATCATAAGTTGAATTATTAGATGTCTTTTTTGAGTTGAGAATTTTCTTATATTAAAATGGAAAAGAGCAACCAAAAAATTATCATCCAAATCTTCTCCCACTAAGTCTGATATAACTCTAAATGCCTTATTCCATATACGTCTTAAAAGCTTGCATCCCTACCAGATGTGTTTAGAGCTTCCTTCTACACAATTACACCTGCAGCATAGTTTGGTATTTTCAGGGTTAATTTTATTTAAGATTTTTGGTACCCTATGCCATTGATGGAGAATTTTGTAGTGAAGCTCTATAATATTTAGACAGTGCAACAATTTTTTAACTTTTTGAATTGATCTATACCACTGCTTTAACTCGATGGGGGACCTGTTTTCTTGTTCCCAGTTTTTCCAGGCTTTTGGTTTATATTTTATTTCTCAGTATTTCATACCAAGTAGATATCAGTTTACGTTTTGTATTATTTTGAAATAGGTCATTTAAGTTTTTATTTATCCTCGTCATGGAGGAGATACTTAGCCAAATATTTTTTTATTCTTAGATATGAGAAAATCTCTCTTTAGGACAAGACTTAACTGAAGGTGTGAAAAGGGCCTTATTTTGTTCGACTCTAGTAGATCTTTTATTTTGATTGTGCCAGATTTGATCAAATTACCTATATTTAGATCAGTAATATTATATTCCTATGTCTTAATTGGACTATACTTAGAGATTTTATTTAGAATATGATTAACTGCCCTTTGTTTATCAACTCCTATGCTATTTGCTGTACAACATAGTTGAAATGTGTGTCTAGTGGAAGGTAAGGTACCAATGAGAGTCGTTGAAGGATCCGATCACAAATACTCGTTGCCAGCTGTTATGTTTCCTGTATGGTGACAATTATACCATTCAGTGCTGTGTTCTTAACTTGCATCTGTAACTGACTCCAAATATCACTGAGACTGTGGAACATTGATTTCAGTCAACCTTTTGCTTAAGCACATAACCACTTTTCTAACCAATTCCTCAGTAAGAACTCAAAATGATTTCAATCTCTCACACAAAGACCTAGACATCCAACGGGGCCTGTTCTAAAAGCTACACCATCTTAAAATAGTGGTTATGAACAAGGAAGGCTAAGGGATAAGATTTGACCTTTAGCTATTTTGGAAATATGAGTAGGTTAATCTCACAGTAAACACAAATATTTAAAGTATGCTAATGTGCCCAGATAAATTGAGAAAATTAAGTATACAAGAATAACTATGTGTGCATGCAGGACCGGCCTTAGGGGCGTGGAAGCTGTGCGGCCGCACAGGGCGCCATGGAGCAGGGGACGCCATGTGGCCGACACAGCTCGCACATGGCCGGGTGAGTGCAGGGGGAGCTAAAGCAAATCCCCAGGTGGAGGATTTATTATTTTCCACCGGGGACTATGAAAGTAAAGAGGACGGGGCTAACTGAACAACAGGGGCGGAGCTTACCACATGGAGGAGGCAAAACTAAAAGGCACTGAAGCTCAAGGTACTGCACAGAAAAGAATCCCTGCTTCCACTCCTCCCTTACAGCCATAAGGGAAATAGGTAATTGTGTGTGTGGCTATAGTGTGTGTGTGTGTGTGTGAATGTACTCGGTGTGTGACTGTCTGGCTGTGTGTGCGTGTGACTGTCTGCCTGTGTGTGTGTGTGTGTGTGACTGTACTCTGTGTGTGACTGTAACAGTGTCTGACTGTGTGTGTGTGTGTGTGAGTGAGAGACTGTACTCTGTGTGTGACTGTCTGCCTTTGTATGTGTGTGTGTGAGACTGTACTCTATGTGTGACTCTCTGTAACAGTGTCTGCCTGTGTGTGTGTGAGAGACTACTCTGTGTGTGACTGTCTGTAACAGTGTCTGACTGTCTGCCTGTGTGTGTATGTGTGTGTGTGAGACTGTACTCTGTGTGTGACCGGCTGCCTGTTTAACTGTGTCTGACTGTAACTGTGCCTGTGGGGCAGGGGGCTGGTGATAAAGGGGGGCAGGGTACTGATGAAGGGGGACAGGGGGCTGATGAAGGGGGCAGGGTTTTGTTGAAGGGGGTATAGGCGACAGTGCCTGAAATTGTCTAGAGGGGGTCAAACAAAGATGGCGGGGGGGCGCCACAACATTGGCTCACACAGGGCGCCTGAACACCTAATGCCGGCCCTGTGTGCATGAATGGCTAGTATAGATAACATCAGACACCATGAGTCACGGATATTAGAAATGTCAGAGAATTAGTTTTAAAGTAAGTGAGAAACATATAGAGTTATTCCCTTTTAGAAATGTCAAAGTGCATGTCAAACTTAAGTCCAAAGCAGCTGAACTCGAAACAGAGAATTTTTCCAGTACTGCTATTTTTTCGCCTATTATTTTAAATTCACTTTAAATTCACTCTGAAATCCCACTTTGGTGAATTATGTGTTAATACTTTCTGGATATAATCAGGGCATTGCATGCTGATACTGTAGCCAAAGATCTGTTATAACTGTGGTTGTGTTTAGACATGGATGCCTGTTTCTGTAACGTATTCCTCCTTACCTTGCGGTATTTGTGCTCAGCATCTGTGCGTCTGCATATCTGACTCCTGCAACATGTTGATGGACGCAAAATTATAGCCCGGGTGAGAGGGCTAACCATTCTTTGGAATTATATTTACGTTGTTTTGTTAATGGCACTCAAGATAAATGTTCCGAATTACTACCCTGGGCCGAGTTTGCTAGAAACAATGCTAATCATGACTCTTCTGGTCATAGTCCTTTCTTTGTTAATAACGGTCCTCATCCTTCTGTGCTGCCAGCTGTTTTCTCTGACATGGCTATCCCTGCTTTGGATGACCACCTTGCTTCTATTCGTGATACGTGGGCCAAGGTTCATTCCGCTCTCAAAACTGCGGCTGATCGTTTTAAATTCCATGCTATTTACCAGGTGGGTAAAAGGGTGTGGTTATCATCATGCAACGTCAAACTTAAGGTTCCTAGCATGAAGTTTGCTCCCAGATTCCTTGGTCCATTTCGTGTCCTTCGTAGAATAAATCCTGTTTCGTATTCTCTGGCTCTCCCTGCCTCCTTGTGGATTCCTAATGCTTTTAATGTTTCTTTGCTCAAACCACTTTTTTGCAATAGTTATACTGTCCAAAGTGTTCCCCCTCCTCCGTTTGTTATTCCTGGTCAGGATGAGTATGAAGCCTCCTCCATAATTGATTCCAGATTTTCTTGTGGCACTTTGCAGTATTTAGTTGATTAGAGGGGTTATGGGCCTGCCGAGCGTTCTTGGTTTCTGGCCTCTGACATTCTTGCTGGCCGCAAGATTCGTTCTTTCCATGCCGAGTTTCCTTTAAAGCCTGGTCCTGCCCGCATGGTGGGCAGTCTTCAGGTGGGGGGTAAGGTAACGTATTCTTCCTAACCTTGCGATATTTGCGACTCCAGCAACATGTTGATGGATGCCAAATTATAGCTCCAGGTCCGCCCACGTTGATGATGACGTTGGCGTGCCTGTGACGTCACGCGGGAGACGTGCGAGCACGTTCTGGGGTCAAAGGCCAATTTCGGCCAGTCAAAATTGTTAAGGGCTTTGTTTGACTTCCCTGTATTCTGGTATTCCTGATTTTTGGCTTTCCCTTATCGTTGCGTGCCATTCTGTGTCCCTGGCCTCGACAAGTATCCTGACTATTCTTTGGTACGTTAAGTCCGGCCATTCTAAGGCCCGGTAAGACGCTACCTTTTTGTCCTAGGTGTGATACAATTCTACGTACTGGATCAGTCAGTAATCCTGACAGTTTCAACCCTTCGGTTTCCTGCTTGGTAGTTCTGCTTTCTAGTGCCCTGATCTTGCTGTGTTCTGGTTCGTGAGTTTAGTTTCCACCTCTCTGGCGGTGTAGCCTTCTTCATTAAGCATGTAAACTCTAAAGGTTTAGTAATACCTTTTGTGGATCAGTCCCTTTTTTCTGCAATTATGGACATGACACAGTCCAAACTATTCTAACAAAGTGGTCCAAACTATTCTAACAAAGTGCTCCAAACTATGCTAACAAAGCGCTCCACCACAATTGTGTTCCTTTCTTTCTAGTTTTTTGGACTGCTATCTGAGAAGGAGAGAACACAACAATTATATAGCGAATTAGGACTTTTAGTAAGAAAACACTATACATATTGTTTGCTTTACTTTAAAGCAGAACTTGTTTTGTATATTGCATACACAATACGTGCTCAACTGAATAACATTCTCCAATGTCAGTCAAGTATTCCTGGAATTGATCTGTTAGTGCTGCAGATTTTATCTTGCCTCAGTTTTCCACACAACAAGCTTTTATAATTCTTGCTCTAGTGAACAAAATGTACATTGCGTGGAGAGGTGAGGGGTGATTCTTACTGATTAACAGTGATTCCTTGTCTGTTACACTTCCAGACAGGTGAAGATTTCATACATAATATATCCTGGGAACTAATTTTGTAAGCCACGTGGCTATTTAGGTTTGCCCTAAATTCATTTTAAACCAATCATAACTTACTCAAGTTAAATGTGTATGCTTAAATCAGTATGTAATAATGATTTTAGTAACTGGAAAAGTGGTCTAAATAAGTGTAATGAGCGTAGTTTTCTGTTAACAAGATGTAAGCATTTGCTTCATTCATTGCATGCTTGTTGTGGATGTTGTTCTTGCAAAGAAGTTATAACTTTGATTATGTTACACAAAAGCATTGCTTTTTGACTTGATTCTACTCATTAATAGATGTTTAGACATACTATGTAAGACATGTTTTCCAAGACAGCCATAACATTAATAAATCTGCCAGAAGAATTTAACAAATTCATCATGGTAGTCCCTTTGTAACCGCAGGTGGTTCCCTTATTTACCACTATAAGGTCTCAAAGCATAGAATTTAGCAGGGCTAACCATACAGATATCTTAGCCATAATATTATATAGTTAGTACGGGTTCCTCTATTTAAAATATAGAGATAATTAAGAATACAATATAAAATAGGGATTGTCTTGGAAGCAATAAAGTTTTGTCTTAAATATTTTATTAAATAAAAATATAAATATAGACATATAAAAATGTAATAATCCATTACAATAATTTATAGCAGAGTTTAAATGATTAAAGTATATGCTTGCAACATTAGTAAATTAGAATAACATACCCCCTTGAACATGTCACCCTATCAGTCATGACAAAATGGAACAGTGTCTTTGTCTCCAAAATCTCTCCTCTGTGTCCTAATATTAATAAATACACATATTTATACCTTAGATTTTTCATTAGGTCATGTTAGGACCTACCTCAACTTGTCAAAGGTACGAGGCCATAACGTGGTCATTTAACATGGGAACATCTTTAGACTAAAACATAAGGGTACACATGACGTGAAAAATTCCCTGGCTTGGGGGATTCCACCAACCTAGGAGAAGATGGCGTTCTAAAGTCTGAACACCATATTCACTGACTATGGGTAAGAGGTAATTTATTAAAGAAACATTGTATGAAAAATAATGTTTTCCATTTCTAACAAATTGCCAGTTTGCAGAATCTCTTGAAGACAAATAACACAGTTAAAGAAATACAACATTTCATTCTAAAAACTTGTAATTTCACATGCCCATAACACCTTTGGTATCCTGTTTGTGATTAACTAATTAATAAGCATTTCTCACATGCTCCCCAAAATCATGTGGAACTTGTAGCTGAGTAGGAGAACGTGGCAATGTTCAAAGTTTATCCCTATTCCATACCGAACAGCGATTTGTAGAGAAAACAAAATAATTTTTGGCACAGTGGGCACAGTGTGTAATGTGGGTAATGTTAAAAGGCCTATACAAATTGTTAAATATATTCTATGGAAATTACTTCTAATATGCTGAATACAGTGTGTTTTACCCTTGCTGTTCCTATGTATGAGAGGGAGATAAGCTTGATCATGGATTCTAGTGTGAGACTGGGTTGAGATTACTGCAGTATTCAGCTAGATAGACACTGGATATTTAGCCGGGGGCATTTAAAACAACTTTGAGTGGGGGATAGGAACTTGGATTTTTGTAAGTCCACCAAGCACAAACCCATTTTTGAACACAAGCATTATTGTGAATGTGCTAATTTATAGAAAATATAATCATTCATAATCCAAACTTACTGTAATAAGTATCATCATTATCACATACTAATCCCAAGATGAATATGAATAAATATACACTTTCAGACTTGGGATTGCATACTGAATATGTTTTGGTGTTTCTTTTACCTGTACATTTGTATATGATGAATACTATAGCCATTGCTGAAATCCAAGAGTAGTGAGAGCTTGAGTGCTGTGCTATTATTTCCATTTGTCTTTTTATATAAAATGAATATATGAAAAGTGAGAAATAAATATACACTTGTATATTTACTTATATAAATTGCAGTGTTTTCATTTCACCGCAGTTCAGAGTTTAGTAATTTAGTAAACAAGACTGAATCTGGAAAAAGGCAGCAAAAGGGGGTAAAATAACAAGTGTGCCCGATAACACCTAAACCACACTAAAACTACAACCCAAGACTATATCATTGTCCTGGCTCCCTGTTCCTCCTCCCATCCATGAGTTCCAGCTGCTCAGTATCCCTCTCTATCCGGTTCATGAAGAGTATCCCAAAACCTTCAGAGGGACCTACCTATGATTCTTCTGGAACTCGGCCGCTATCACCACCCTGGCCGAATCATGTTGCTGTACACTTTTCATCCTTTTCTCAGTGGACTAGGAGAAGACTTTTTGGAGGGGAGCTACACGTCACCAGGGGGAACAATCACTACCTATGAGGGTTCGGGGATGTATTGGTAATGTTTATGGGTTTTGATTGTATTGTACTCTCTGTGTTCGGGAGATGATTAGTTTAGCAAGAGCTAACTTAATTATCTCCCAGACTCAGAGACGCTAGGGCGGGACCAGCTATGTCTTGAATGAAGACCCCATGCTGGTGGTCTGTGTATAAAAGGCTGCATTGTGCTCAATAAAACTGGTTATTCTCCCCAGCATTATGTGTCGTCTGATGACTGTGGAAAGGTGCTATAAACACTAAGAGGCTCTAAGAGGCTAGGAGCTCGGCTACAAATATAGTATATTACTACGAGCTGTGTTTCTTAATTGTATCTAACTCTAACTCATATTTCAAGTCAAATATGTCAAATTATGTGTAATGCTCACATGTTTGGTTAATACATGCTATGCCTAAAATTGATAAACTGTTTTATTGTTATGATAGATGCTTTTGTGGCTGTATCCAAAGACGTAAAGGAACACCAACAAATGGAAAGGACAGTTAATGATGTAAAAGAACAATTTGATTCTATCACACTGAGGTGTCGGCCTACACATCAAATATCTCATGGTATGCAATTCAGTCTGTAATTCTATTTTTATTTTATACATTTTAAGAAATGTATTAGGATCTGTATTCAGTAATATGGATAAATAGTTTTTAAATGTGGTAATGTAAAGTGCCATCATATACACAATATACTTATCTATGTATTTATCATTTGCCTATAATTCATCATTCCTATGGTGTTGTTTTTTTTTACCTTGTTTCAGGTACTGGGGTCATTCAGGTGAAAATTGACAATATATCTTATATAAAAGCTAAGGCATTTAGATTGACATCATACTGTGTGTTGATGAGTACATAGAAATATAGATATGTTACTTTTATTGCAATTATATACAATTATATATATCCCTTCTTGGGATGCTAAGGTTTTTGTGGATTCATGATTAAAGCAATTTTGGCATTCTCCACATACATTTGCTCAACTGTAATTTCCCTATATATTATTAAGACAATTGCACATATTATACAAATTGTTTTTAAGGATAGATAGAGCTTTCTGTTGATAATATAGATAGCTCATCCTTTAATTTGAATAAAATATAAAAAATAGGAAAATACTGTTCACAATAATGTGGCTTTAGAAAACTATCTGTTATAAAATTTGTTTAAATGTCCAAATTGTGTAAATGTCAACCAGTTCAGTGTTTTTTGGCAGTTATGTGTCACAAAATAAAAAGGGTGCACCATTGATATACAACTGAAAGTCTCCAAATTTGGCCTGCTGGGAATGTAAGTTCAGCAGTGATCACAACGCCTAAAATTGGCTAAACAAAAGTATACATTTGGAGAAACTGTTATTTAAATGTTCACAGGGATTTGGGTTAGTTTGCAGCTAGATTTTCTTTGTCTTGTTTATGCATTTATACTAATAAATAGACAACCACTAGTGCAGCAAGAGATGTTTGAGAGTAGAATTAATTTCTGTTTTACATTTTTAACATAGTCTACCACCAGACCTCCCAATTATGCGGAATTAGTCAGGACTGGTTTGATTTTCGAGCCATGTACTACCATCCCAACTTAGTTCCCTGTGTCCTGGTATTCTGATTTTCGGGTGCCAGGCAACTGGCCAACAAGAGCTATGTTCAGGCCACTAGGACCCTACCAAGAGCACTGAAACAGTGCTCCCTGCATGGTCTGCCCCCAGTGGGCTGGCCAGCTTGGTTAGCAGGTAGCCTTGCATGCATTCATGCACTGGCTGGCTTGTCAATTCTACAGACAAACCTGCCCTCTTCCTGACAGGTCCCACAACTACAGGCAGAACCAGTGATATTAATTACACCATTGGCCCAGCTTTCCTTGCCTCTCTTTTTCAGTAAGCTGGAGTTGGGAAGTAGGTACCACCGAATCTTTATTTACCACTGAGCTGCTAGTAGAAATGTTACATTTGGACTACGTTGAAAAAAGTTGAAAAATTTACTTTAACAACTGTTATAATTTAAAAGTTTTTTAGATCTTAGATAACAGCTTTCAGGGTTATTCAATAAAGTGAGAACTGCCAAGAATTCAAATATATTTCAAATTGTAGGTCAAAATAGTAAAATTAGACAAATTCTCCACATTAGTTCTGTTTTCAGTTTTGCTATTTTTGTGTTAAATTTTAGAATCACTTGGAATTCTCAACAGTTCTCACTTTAGTGAATAACCCTGGGTATGTTTACTGAAATCAAATGCTGTACCATATTTAAATAGAATATAAGGCTTGGGGTTCAGAGATCACAGGGAAACAGCATGCAGATTTATTTTACACTTTTACCATTTCTAAATTTGTCTACCATGTTTTTGGCTTATTTTGTCTGGATACATTATATTTTGTTGACATAACAGTCCCAACTATCAATTATGGCCTTGATTTAATTTGCTTGGATCAGCATCAAATCACAATCTATTAGAAAAACTTTTCAAATAACTGAGCTACAGAAGTCACCATTTAAGTTTATGTGAATTTTTGTCGATAGACCATTTGAAAGGTTTTTCTAACAGATGGTGATCGTTTGAAATGTTGATTCAAATTAATTCTATCGAGGTCTATGTGCCCGTGCTATACCCAAACATTTAACTAGGTATCTCCAAAAATGTTGAATAAAGAGATAAATAAAGAAATGAGGGAGAAATATGGCTCCAAAAATCAGAGTAGTGACAATGTTTATCAAATTTATGGTAGTTTGACTAAAATGGGTGTTTCTTATGACACTTCTGAATATGAACACCTTGATGTTCTCAACATTATAGTTTATGTAATAGTCGTATTTATAGAACATCCGCTTTCACATTTCGCTGTGAGTTTAAACTTTCAGATATTTGTTCCTTCTGTTGTGGTTTCCATTATATGCACTTCCTGAATATACTTTTTTTTTTTTTTGCAGCTCTTAATTTTCTTTTCTTATTTGCCTTGGAAGGAGAAAACAGCCTGTTTTCATTAATATTTAAGTTATGTTACATATCTCCTTTATAAAACATTCAAAATTCAAGGGCTGAAAACAGGAAGAGGTGTATTCATTTCATTTTCCTTCAATACAAATGAACTGCTGAATATGCAGGCCTTCTCACTTTTGACAGATCTCAAACAGTGCAGTAGAATACAGATTGAGAAATACATTTGTGTTAAATAAAAGAAACTCAGTTCAGGAGGATTAAAAAACAAACAAAAGACAGGTTTACATTTTTATTTCTACTGGAACATAAATGATCAAATAACTGATTGATTAACAAAACAGTTATAATTTTATAGAATGCCTATCTGCTTAAAGGGACACAATATGTACAATGTGACTTTTAGTTTGTAAATTAAATAGATTCAACTTTGAGATTCGTTTAATTACGAACTGCAATTCGAAGCTTCTGTCCATAATGCCAAAAAAAAGAGATGATTGATGGGAAAAAAGGATAAGCAGTAAAAAAGAAATAAATCTATATTAATATTTAATAAGTATATATATATATATATATATATATATATATATATATATTACTGCTCCTCTTCTTTTTCCTTCTGTTAGTTACTTTTTCTCACTTGATCTCTGAACCATGGCAGGGCAGGAAAATATGCCTATAATAATATACACAAAATTGACATTATGTAAAAATCTTGCAGTACACTGATTGGCCCATTTTTTAGCCCTTTTGTATCTTCTGATTCATTCTCTTAATGTTTTTTGATGAAATTCTGCCAAAAAGTCACATGCATTAAATTCTGCCATAACTACATTTATTTTAGTTTCCAAAAACGTGGTGAGGTCAAAACAAATTTTGCCTCTACGCAAAAGTCTAAAATATATAGATAATGCATTGATGGAATATGGACATGGGGTTTATAATTATATGAACTCTTGTTCAGTCAAGATTTATTGGAATGTCCCTTTACCTTCAGTTCCACTCATGTTCAAATAGAAATGAGCAGTAATCTTCTGGATACCATTCTACGTGGCTAACCTGGTGCAGGATTCTGTATTTCTTATGTCAGCAATGGATTTGAAAGTTTTTTTTTTCTGGATCCTTCCCTAAGATTCACCTGATGTAAGGGATAAGGTAGCAAATAACAGTAACTATTTACAAGATTAATAGAAGTAGAATAACAACAAGGGAGACTAAGCACTCTAATGAGAGGAGCTGGTAAAGAATCGATTGGGAAACTTTTGATCCCCTTGCACATATGTTAGTAGGAGAAGTCTCTCCAATTCAAAGAGAGTCCAACAGACCTCCATGTTTGCACAAGAAGCCACACTTCCCACAAACAATGGAGATATTAAATAATAAAAGGGTATCTGCATGACCGCCAAAACATTTCTATTAACCCATACTTCACAGTTCAAGAACTACTGATGTGGGTTCCCCTGGCTAGTAAGCGGCCTGCCAGACCTCTTCATGGCTTTTGCTTCCCCTCTTCCTCTTTTGTTGATCACTACTAGGACCTGCTGGTAGTTCCGCATCAATTCCAATTCTGAGAAAAATAAGCCTGGTATTATGAGTCATATCCAAGTTGGATCTTTGTGACTATATGATTCATTATACATTTTATCATATTTTAACCATTCGAATTAGCCGGGACTACGTTGGTTTATTATTATTATTATTGGTATTTATATAGCATCAGCTTATTCTGCAGCACTTTACAATAAAAGGGGAATTTACCAAATGAGACAATAACAAAATGTAACAGGAACAATAGTTAGTTGAGGACCCTGCTGAAACAAGCTTACAGTCTAGAGGAGGTGGGGTATAAAAACACGATAGGAAGGGTACTGAGGGAGACAGCAAATAGACATGGTGGGAAAGTAGCAGAACTAGAAGTGAGAGTGGAGTGTGGCCCTTTAGGAGAGAACAAGAGGAAGGTTTGAGAGATAGAGTTACTCTTCGGGGCCATAAGCAATCCTGAAAAGATGGGTTTTGAGGGACTTTTTAAAGGATTGAAGACTAGAGGAGAGTCTGACAGGGGTAGCCAGGCTGTTCCAAAGGAAAGGAGCCATCCGTGAGAAGTCTTGCACGTGTGAATTTGCAGCAAGGGTGCGAGCAGCAGACAGGAGAAGGTCGCCAGTAGAGCGGAGAGACTGAGAGGGGGCATACCTATGAATCAGTGAAGAAATGTGAGAGGGGCTAGAGTTGGTTAGAGCTTTTAAATTGACATGTGTAGGTGACAGGAAGCCAATGTAAGCATCGAGAGAGGGTTGAGGTGTGAGAGGAGTGAGAGGAGAGAAAGATCAACCTGGCAGCAGCATTCACCACAGATTGTAGGGGGGCAGTACCGCTTCTGGGGAGACCAATTAGGAGAGAATTACAGTAATTGATGCAGGAGATTACGAGAGCGTGAACAAGCTCCTTGGCAGCATCTTGCGTAATGAAGGGACGTATGTGGGCAATATGTTTAAGTTGGAATCGACAGGTTTTAGCAACAGACTGGACATGAGGTGCAAAGGTGAGGCCAGGATCAAAAGTGACACCAAGAGGTTTACTGTTATATATGATTTTGCAAGCAACACACCATTATTAATAGCCAACTTGAGATTTTTCTCTAAAATGGCCATTTCATCTGACCTTAAAGGATCTGCTATCTATTTCATACCAAGTTGAACATATACTCTACTAATGAACATATGTTCTGTTAAAAATGACAAAAGAAAATTATTAAAACAGGCAGCACAACTAGCTTTCAAAAGTCAAATTAATGTGTGAAAAGTGGAATGTAAAAGCAATATGTAAAGCATACTATAGTATCCTATAGTGCCCTCCTCACTCAGGCACCCCCACCACACCCACAGTGCACAAAGGGTTAAAAAGCCTCAATTCACATACCTGAATCCATCGCCGATGTCCCTTGCACGGTTAAACTGACAGGGACAGTGCACCCAGACCACTTCAATGAAGTGGTCTGGGTTCCTATAGTGTCCCTTTAATTACTAGGTGTTGCAATGGTCACTCCTGCACAGATGGCAGAATAGAAATGCTTCTTGTCACATGAATGCCCTTTGCTGTACAGAGACAAAACATTCTAATCTCAAATACATGGTATATAATATAATGCAATCTATATAAAATTATTATTTCACCAAAAAACACATTTATGTTTCATTACGGAAACTCCTGTGCAATTAGGATTTAGCAGCTCTTCTGAATATATGTGGTAATTAATCAAATGTGATTAACCTGTAATTGCTAGGTACCCACTCTGCCTGCTTGTCACCGCCTATCAGAGAACATGGAGATACATGTCATGTTTATTATATTTCTTTCAGAAAATGACATTCCAGGACAATGAGACAACCTCTCCAGTAAAAGAAGACATTTGTAAAGGAAGCACAACATATCATCCACATTTCTTCAGCAAATGTTTCAAAGCAATTATTCTAATTAATGTAATTTATTTATAAAAATTCCATGTCACTATAAAATGGGTAACAAGTTAAATACAGATACTGAAAGAATAACTGTTTGAGCATACACTTCTGCTATTATAGCCATTTATATTGTTGTAATATTTTGTATTGATTATTTATACTTTTTTTTTATTGTTGAATGTTTATAATCACACCATGTACAAATGATAAATTAAAACAATTAGAAACATACTGATGCTCTTAATTTCTAATTGCATGAATTAATTCAATTCAAATTGCACTATATTGTGTTGGGCAGGGTTAATAATAAATGGTAATTCTGATTATTAATTACGCATGCCTAACAAAAACATCTAGACTTGTCTATTGCATTTTTTCCTTTTAATTAAATATCAAAGCCAAGGGAGGAAACTCTATTCGAAGGTTTCCTTATGGCAAACAAATTGCATTAAATGCTCTCTCAACACACACACACACACTTGGCAATTTTCTGAAATAGGGGGACTTAAAGGATCACTATAAACACCGAGACCACTTAATCTCAATGGCACAGTGGTTCTGCTGTTTTGGTCCCACAATGAAAAACATTGCTATTTTGGAAATACATGTAGCTACTCGATGGTGCTTCCCCTGTGAGAACCAAGTCAGGATCGGTTCTTGTCATTCGATGTCCTCACACATTGCATGTGGATGTTAAAGTTCAATGAATGCATCTCATAGAGCAGTGATGGCGAACCTGTGACACACCTGGTCCACTCTGTGGGCACGCGGCCATAGGTCACCGGTCGGCAGCAATGCAATCCCCCTACACAGCCCCTACACACACAGCACTCCTCCCCCCCACACAGCACCACTACCCCACACACAGAGCACCTCCCCCACACACAGCACTCCTCCCCCACACAGCACCCCTCTCCCCCACACACACAGCACCACCTCACACACAGCACCTCCCACACACATTCCTCACACACATCACCTCTTACACACAGCACCCCCCCACACACACACACACAGAGCACCTCTCAGACACACACAGCACTCCATACACACAGCACTCCACACACACTCCGCACCCATACACACATACACAGCACCCCTCCATGCAGTATGTGTGTGTGTGTATTACGCAGTCTGTGTGTGTGTATTCAGCAGTCTGTGTGTACTCAACAGTCTGTGTGTTTGTGTGTGTGTGTATTCAGCGGACGGTGTATATGTATTCAGCTGTCAGTCTGTGTGTGTATTCAGCAGTCTGTGTGTGTTGGTGTGTGTATGTATTCAGCAGTCGGTGTGTGAATGTATTCAGCAGTCTGTGACTGTATTCAGCAGTCTGTGTGTATGTATTGCATTTATTGGAGATACTAATAAATTTAAGCTTCATTTTATCTATTATTTATATCATCATATTTATTTAAAATTGGTATCATTGAACTCTCTGTTGTTGTGTTCTTTTTTTTTTTTAAGTCAAAGATGTTAATTAGTTCAAACAACTGTACAAATTGTTTTTTCTAAACTTAAACTTCAGGTTTAATTGCCGTGTTGGCACTTTGAGGGAAAAAAGTTGGAATTTATTGCGGTTTGGGCACTCGGGCTCAAAAAGGTTTGCCATCACTGTCAGAGGGAGTCAATGGATTGAATTCTTCTCTATGAGAAACATTTGATTGACTCATTGTGGTGATTGCCACAATTGAGGTGATTGTGTCTTGTGTATGCAATGCTTCTCTATGAGAATCATTTGATTAGATAAAATGTCATCGAGTCTGTAGATGTCAGAGAGGAAGATCAGCCTGTTCAGAAAAGGAAGTCTCAGCAATGGATTTGAGGTGAGAAAATCATTATTTTAACAGATTTTTTATTTATTGTTATTGAAAACATCTAGCAATATTTCACACAGTCAGAAATGTTAGTATGATAAAAATGCATTTTTTCATATATAGTAGATGTGACAAAAATATATATTAATAAAAATAGTGAAAAACCTTGCCTATAGGTAATTGTAAGGACCCTGTGTAAATTATTAGCAGTGCAGTTTTCTAAAAATTGCAACAGATTGTAAAAACAATGTCTTCATTTGAGCATAAATCACATAGTTAGAAAATAAAGGTACATCAAACTGTTATAGCAATCTTTATCAATCTCTGCATTTCTAATGTAATGCTGACAGTGCAATGGTTAGAGTCAATTCACTCCTGTCTCTCACTGACTGTAAAAATGCGAATGCTGGCCACTCCTCAGTTCGGAAGAGGTGCTTCCTAGGGTCCATTGATTCAATGCATCTTTATGAGGAAATGCTGATTGGCCAGGGCTGTGTTTGGCTTGTGCAGGCTCTGCCCCCGATTTGCCTCCTTGACACGCTCAGCCATTACAATGCTTTTCTATGGGAAAGCATTGTGATTGGCTCAGTTCACCACTACTGATGATGTCAGCCAAGCAGGCAATTCAGGGGCAGAGCCAGCAGCAGCAGACTGCAATAAAGGTATGACTATATTATATATTACTATATTTAGGATGGCAAGGGGAAGCCAGGGGGGCTATATTGTGTCTTTAACACTATAGGGTCAGGAATGCATGTTCCTTAAGTTAGAGACAAAGTCAGTAAAGGCAAAAGTCAGGTAAAGAGAAATACAGATATATGAATAAACAAGCCTGGGTCAGGATTCCAGAAATACACAAAGTCAATACAAGCCAAGGTCAATATTAAAATGTCAAGAGAAACTTACTGTATGCACTTGAAGTGACCTCACTTCAAGGACGAACATGTATTTAAATTATATAAGGATGCGCCATTTGAGTGGGTAGTATCCAAATAATACAAGTGTTATGAAGTAGAAACTGTCTGGTGAATTGGCGGTTCGCCAGCACTGAATCAGGAAGTATATGCACATTCACTAATTCATTTTTAGGACACTGTGGTTCCCTGCCTTCCTCATGTTTAGCAAAGGAGTGGGTAAAGTTAAAAAATGTTTACTTCCTCTCTCTGTTTTCTTCTGTAATGCTTTGTTGTAAATATCTTGTGGGGCATGGAAGTGGAATGTAAACGATGGCATACAAAAGCACATCCCTTGTAAGGGCCCTGCTGCATTTTGTGACAGAATGAAACAGATTTACAGAAAAGTGAACAGGAGACTGATTAGTTCTCACACTACCTCCATTACACTAGCAAGGATGAGTCCCACGCAGCAAGCAAAGTTACGCAAGTTCAAGGGGCCTAAAGTAAACTAAGCATATGGAAAGAAATACAAATATAAGCAAATAAATATTGCACAAGGTATTTGTGACTGATAAGGTGGGAACAAAAGCAGATAGCAAGTGGATAGCTATTATTTAATTAAATTGGGCCCAAACTATCTGGCAAATGGATTCCCCTCCTCCCCCCAATTCCACTGATGTTACTATTTAAAGGAACACTGCAAACACTATAACCACAACAGACTGCTATAGTGATAAGGGTGCTAATAACGACATGCTAGCGCAATCTATCAAAGAATCTCAGCCTGGTTTAATGCGTAGCCCTTGATTTAATAAGCTTTGCAAATGATTCAATATTGTTAGCAAAAAAATTTAAAATTATTTATCTACAGAAGTCACTCCTAACACCTATTGGAATTTTTGCAATTAAATTATTTGGAAAGTGCTTCCACTATTGAATAATTTATTACTTATTAAATTGAGGCCTTCATTGGGTGTTGAATTTATGCTGTGAGTTTTATTGCTGTAGAGCTCTATAATACAATCTTACATTGTCTATAAAAGGGGTTCTCAACCCAGTCGTCAAGGACCCCCTACCAGTCCAGGATTTAGGGATTACCTGGGTGTGTCTAAGGTGTTTAGAAAAAGAAAAACCTTAGAGTCTAAGGTGTTTTTTTTCTTCTTTTTCTAAACACCTTAGACATACCCAGGTAATCCCTAAATCCTGGACTAGTAGGGGGTCCTTGAGGATTGGGTTGATAACCCCTGGTCTATAACATTCTCTCATTGCTGTGAGTTGTATTGGTGTGGATTTCTTTAAAATGTCCATTACCGTGAGTTTTAATTTTGTGGATTATTATTATTGGCATTTATATAGCGTTAACTTATTCTGCAGTGCTGTTTTGGATAAATGTTATGTAAAATTCTTGTGTTTGACACCCGTGGCAATTTGTTTGTAATGGACAGGCAGGTGAATGGCTCATAGAATGACAGAACGAGCTATCATTGACTTGGAAATAATTAACTTGACCTGTAAATTTGCTTTAGCATAAAGAACAAGACACTGCAATAAGGTTAAACAGTACAAAACACACAATCTTTAACAAATATAGGTGATAGTATTTTCATGATTAGCAAAACACGTTTGGTTTCTAGTGATTAAAATATTAATGAAATTATAATAAATGTTGCAACGTTACATTGATTGGAATGGAAATTGAGATATATAAACATACTATAATTTAAAAAATGATTGCAAACCTGAGGCAAAAATATCAAATGTTATTATATAAAACTGAACAGAAATATTTTATTACATATTTGTTTTACAGAATATTTAACATAATAATTACTGCAGAGTGAATCTGAGAAACCATCTGATAAATTCAGCAGTATTGTCTCTTCCTATCTATATAACCCTACAGTCCTATTAATGGTGAATAACTAGTCTTTTAACAGGTTAAATTCTACCTGGAATTGCATAATGAAAGAAGCCATTAATAACACACAGCTACGACAGGCTGAACTATATTTAATCAAACATTAATGACTATCAGAATATTTGAACACTTGAAAATATGTCAAAGAAAGAGTGTCAGACATTGAAGGCAAAATGGATTGGAGATGTCTGATACTGAACAGAGATATTATTTAAATGTAGACATATCAGTGCATCAATGTTAATGGTGGGTCTCCCAGTCTTTACATCATTTTAAAATAATAAGGAGGTTCA